AAAAGTTAGTTCTTATTAAGTAATTGCTTAATTTCAATCGTCCTTCGCTTGCATCATACTTTAGATTAAACTATTTTTTTGTGAATAATATTTTGCAAAATATTTTGACATATTTTCTACACTTTAAATTGGAAGAATTTAGTGAAATTTTTTGTTTCCATCATTTTAAATTTATATATTTGACAGCTTTATTTTTCAAATATGAATATTAAATTAAAATCAGGATTTCAAAAAAAAATGCAGATACCGAACATTATATTAAGTGGTTATCGGTGGTGACCAGCATACAATGTTTTAATCGCCATTACTTACATTTAGTCGCCTGTGGCTGATGGCGACTGTTCATTTTGTTCTTTATTTGAACCGATGGTCTGCACCAATTGATTAACAGTTTTGAGGTTAAAGCCTCGAACCATTCAGATTGTCTCTTAGCGCATGAAAATTCAATCACTAGATTTAAGGTTATTAAGGATTTTTTTCTCTGTTCACTCTACAGTAATTGTTATATTTTAATTATTTTTAAGGTTTAATTATTTACAAAAGCAATTGATTATTTGAAAGATCCGACATAAAATGTCAAATTAAAAATTTATGTTAAATAAAAACTATATATTTTAAACGCGTCACCGCTGTGCATTATTCATGATGTTATTAAAAGTAAGCTATTCCAGCAATATCCCGTCTTAGGTCACGTAAGTTAAGGCTCTATAATTTCACGATTGCGTGATTATGACTGTCAAACTGCATGATCAGCCTGGTCAGCATTGAGAACATGGGGTATTAACACTAGGAATAACCTCCTTCTTAACTCTATGAGTAATAGTAAAGCAAAGCTTTCTTTCATCAGTCCTGAGGAAGCCAGAGACGGAGAAGTTTGGGCCAGAAATTTCATAACCAAATGACATAATTGTGACACTGCGGTCAGCAATGCGCACAAGTCACCTTTACTTCCTAGACCAGCTGGTACCAAACGATTTGATGCTGGCTGGATTTCAAGTCGCCACTGGCGATCCAACCAATGTCTTTCACCGTGACAGTTCCGTGCGTTAAGGTTGTTTTTTGAAGTCTCCGTCGTCATAGGAAATGATTCTTTTTGTGAAAAATATGCTATTTTTATTACTGTTGTGAGTTTACAACAGTTACTCATGGCTGTTGAGTCAAAATTAGTTTATCTAAAGCAGGCGCTGTATATGCTTATTTTGAAAATGGTGCAAAACGCCGATATGGAGAAAAGCCAGAGTTTTGCGAAAATGAAAAGCGTTTGTGATTTAATTTTTTAACATTTAAAAACTTACTCCAATGCTGCATTATTTGGGCTCTTAAAAATTTTCAAAAATTCAGAATAACCCAGTGTTTTTTCATAATTTCCATTTAAGTAGAAAAATATCGCTAAATTGGATATTTTAAAAAATGTTTAATAACTTTTAAAATATTTGAGTTGTTTGTCTGCTTCAAAGGCCAGAAAATTCTTCATGGCAAAATTATAGATATAATTTAAAATAATCGCATTGCTTCAAGTTTGAGCGCTTAAACTTAGGCTTCTTTATTTCCATGTGGCCAAAGCTTCGAAAAACAACATTAACCACTGGGCCATCATTGCTCAATCCTATTATAAAGTTACATATTAAACACGTTCTGAAAACAATAAAGAATTTAGTTTAATTTTTTTTAAAAATTCATTTTTTTAAAACCAATTGTCCCATAATAGGATTCGCACAACTCTCGCATGAGCACAAACAGTATGTGTGACAAGACGTGTTCAAAAGCCTTCAAGCTTTGCTAACATTATTGAAATCTGAATCTCTTTCTAAATTCATTTAACTTGTAGTGAATTGAAAATTGCTTTAAATACTCTATTTTATTAAATAAAATTTGAAGGTCGCGAGAATTCCCCAAAGAATTTATCTCTTCCTAAATATCTAATAATCATACAAAATTTAATCAACCTTCACAAGTGTTCTAAACTAGCTTTGATGGTAATGCATGAAAATGGTTTTAAATTGTTTAATCATTCGGAATGATCGAAGTAACATATTATATCAATTTCAAAGCGACAGTCAAAAATATCATCTAAAGACAAAATGGCATTTAAAACGTTTATCTCCAATATCGCCCCGTATCGATAATTGATTCTTCGTGGAATGCTCCTTATTATTTGATTAAAGAGATTCAAAGAATTTTGTGTCAGCCAATAATTTAAGATATCATCTATAGATAAACGGTAAACTGGTTGATAACAGCAGTCGATAATGAAATCTTTATAAATTCAATTTAAATCAAATTATAAATAACTTAAAATTGTTACTAAGTTGAAGTATAGAAAAACTATGCATTCATATTTTCTCTGAGAAATATGCTGAAACCCGCTTAAATTGCTTCGCAAAGACTTTCAAATTGAAAATTAGGAAACATCATTTCTAGAATCGTTTCTTCAAACGTTTGCGTCGTACTTTCTCCAATTTAAAATTTTATTTGTGAATTTACGTTCAATTGAAATATGTTTTGATAACTACAGTTTCAAAATTGTTTGCATGGATAAACTCTTTAGACATAAATTATTCGACAACTGTATGTTGTACAAAACTTGGAAGCTAATTTTAACCTATTACCGGAATATTTACGAGTGGCGTATATATTAGTCTGGTTGATAAAGCGTTGGACTCGCGTTTGTAAGAACGGGAGTTCATATCTAGCCGGACGAAGAATCCTCGCGTATTAAATGGTAGCTGGTGCATGCTAAATCTATAGAGGTCACAAAGTCCTTCTAGTTCCCGTAACAAATCAATAATTCTGGTAGTACCGAATTGGAGATTGATCGTTCTATGGTTCAGGTCGAATTTACGATCTGCGATTGGATAAGTGTATGAAACAGTCCTTCCTGTGAACCGGGTTCTGAGGTATGTGTGTGGCAAATCATATTCTTAGCCATAGATGGCACCACTGAAAAACAAGAAGCGTGCCCTCTGCCTTAAAAATATCCTTTATTAATTATTATATGCTCAGTCGATTCATTGCCTCAAACAATTTGGCATTAGATTGAATGACTAATGCTGTTTAGGAACAATATGAACAACAATACCAGCACACAGACCTGCACTTGATCCTTTTGTTTCTTATAAGTTAACAGCTGAGGACGGAATCTTTATTTGAAGGGAGGATTAGGATGCAGCTACATACATATAATTTAGAAAACAAATTAGAAAATAAAAATATATATATATTGAATTAGATATGAAAAAGGTACTAAAATAAAACTTAAAAATTACTTAATGATAATTTTATATACTACGTGATGATATGATATGAAAGATATGAAAACATAAAAATTGAGAGAGTGGGGTAAAACTGAACAGCGGAGTGAGACTGGGTACCCGGATTGTGCTGAAATTGCTCTGCTTCTCCAGCGAACAATGTCTGAATTGCACTTAGCTACCTATCATATTGGTGTATTAATGTTGATTTAATCACGGTGCCTGTGTATATAAGTTTGTTCTACTATTTCAACTCCTTAATGCTCTTTTGTTTCTAAACTATTTTTATTGATCCTTATAAAAATCATTTTAATGCCAGATTATTATACATTTGCTAAAAATTCATGCCCGAGCAAACAATAAGAATTTAGTGCTTAGTGCAAAATTGTACTCTTTATGTAGATATATAGAAATTCTCTTCAATTTTCCTCTAAAAAAATTTTTTTTTACAGCAGGAACTAAATTTTCATACTTCGTCTCGGAAGATGCCAGATGTGTTGCTAATTTAACATTACCCGATGGGCACCTGTGAACCTAAGTCACGGATGAGAGCGATATTACCCACGTTACACTGCCACAGATACGCGTTCATAGAGTGGGCCACATTCAATCATCTATAAGAAAACTATTTAATAAACACAATTATTTTTTGTTAGAAATTTTGGTTTGACCCTCAGCATTTCCGGGCACTGAGACAATTGCCGCCCCCCCCCCCGAGTACATCTTTGACTTCATCACATATAAATTTACCATGTGTATCCGCACTATTAGAAATGATTCGGACAATAACAATTTATTTAATTGTTATTTGACCATATTCAAGCAAAGTCAAATAACCATAAATAAGTTGTTATTCAAACTGTTTACTGTAACTGCTAGAAAGACCGTTTATTAACTACTTTTATCTGATATCGTTACACAACCAGATTTTTATCGCACCAATTTTATCGTTCCTTGGCTGGGTACATATTATAGCCGAAATGGCTAAACTGTCAATATCATGTCCGACAGAACAGGGGTCTGAGTCCCAGAGTTGAGAAAATATTCCCTCCATTCTCTTCAACACATGAAGAGTTTCCATTGTTCCTGCACTCCCCAATTTATGACGCTGGACTATTAGAATACGATACATTAAATTACATTAAGAAAAATACAAATAATGCTTAAAAAATACATTAGCACTTTAAATGACAGTTCCATATGCAACACCAAGTTATGATAAAATGAAGTAGACGATTGACTTAATACTTTGATTAAAAAATGCTAAACGCTTGATCAAAATATCAATGAAAATTATTATATAATTAAACTAGTTATCATATGAATGCGTGTAAATTTCTTATTAGTCATTCTATAAATTACTTAGGCAATTTGTTAAATACTAGCCAATTTCATACTTTGCCAGTCAAACTTAGGCATTTTATAGATACCTGGATTTCGTACATTTACGGTATTATATATCTTAAGTTTTTTTTCTTTTAATTAGTAAATCAAAAAAGTTTACAAATCATAAAACATGCTCAATTGAAGTTATAGAATCTTAAACTTAATATGATTAGTATAAGAATGGTATTTAAATAAAACAATGATATCAACGTTTTTATAAGTTAGTTGTGTAAATACATTAGTAGTTTCAGTAAATGTTTATCAATAAAAACAAACGATACCATCAGACAATACCTTTAAAAAATATTTTTATTATTTCCCATATCATCAAAAAATGTATATTTTTATTTCTCTTTGTTTCAGAAATATACTATATATGAGGGAAAAGGAAAATACAATGTAGAACTTCATGATAAGAATAAGAAAGTAATGCACGATCTCTGGACAGAAATGTCAGAACTAGCTGATTATAACAGGGTTTGTATCTTTTTCAATCTTTTTCACTTTGTTCAAAGCTACTAATTGCTCATGTGCAAAAATTATTTTCATTATTAAAAATTATTGTATCTTTTTTAATCCTTTTCACTTGGTTCAAAGCTACTAATTGCTCATCTGCAAAAATTATGCTTTTAAAAAAAGAAAAGAAAACCTAGAATAACAGGAAGAAAATAAAAAGTGCATGTATATAAGTGATTACTCAAATGAAAAGTGAACAAAATTCAGTTACGATAGTATTTTGCGTAATAGAAGAAGTTAATAGGGGTGTAATAAAAATTTTTTGTAATTGATTATCCAAGTCATGTGAGACCCTTTAAAGTGAATGCAAAGTCACGTTAAGACAGGCATTTAGGATTAATCAATTAGAATGATTTTTAGGGGCCGAAGTTAATTTACCGTTCCTATATTCAGCCAAAGAGCAACACAGCTATCAAGAGTTATGATTCTTTGATTATTACAAATCATTTCTTCAACAACAGCAAAAGATTCAAGGGAGATTGTGTATCGTTTGTCCTGGGATTTCGCACATCCGATATTCATTAACGCTGTTCCCGAAAACTTTAGCTTTATTTGTTTATAGCCTTCTGTCCTGATCAGTGATCGCTATACAGTGAAAAATGTCCACATTATACTCACGTTCTGAAACTGTAAACTTACTACTACTGTTCTGGCTGCATGCATCTCGGGATGGCTTTACATTTACGTTAAATGCTCTTATGTTAATTGGTTAATCAGTTATACGCAATTTGCTATGCACTCCTCTGACCCCCATTTTCAACATTGATTCTCGGTTCTGCTATCACAACTGTATTTCAAAAGCTATCAGTCGTGTCCACTTATTATTTGGGCAAATTTTTTAAACACTAATTGTGCAAGGTATTTCATAATAATCGTCCTTTATTAGCTCCTAGTCAAAAGTGAAGTCTAGACAATATACATATTTAGAATAGCAAATTAACATTTAAGCTAAGAAAAAACACTAAAACTAGATCACTTGAAATTCAAACGAGTTTTTAATAACTAACTTTTATTTCTTCTTCTTCCTCCGTCAATAAGGCAGTTATGAGTGTTTTTATTCCTATAATCCGCAATGGTGGTTTTTTAGTTTCAATATCGTTTTCGGTTTTTCCTGGCATAGATATTAATTTGCATCTCTAATGTGTGTACTTTTTTGATGCTAAAGATTTTAAAACTGCATACTATGGTAGTCATAATGTAACATTCTAAATAATAAAATAAGGATAGAGGCTATAGATGAAATTTGATAAATACAAAACTAAGCACATCACTCATTTTTTGAACGATTTGAATCAATCGAACCCGAGTATTAAAAGCGAAATTAATGCTCATTCCTTAGTTTATAGCTCTCTATTTCTGTAATAAATTACAAGTTTTTCCTTGTTTCTTTTTTTTAAGATTAAAGATAGTTTTTTTAATGAAGTAAGAAAAGCCATATTCATATAAAAAAAATTCGGTTTTAATTTCAAAATTGTTCATTTATATTTTATTTTTTAACTAATTTCTAAACTTTTGAATTGAGTGATTCGAATAAAAAACTGACCATTCCCTTTTTAATTTTAATTCTAAAATAAACTACCATTTTCAACAAAAACTATTTAAACTAAGTACTGAAAAAAGTCCTTTAAAAAGCATCATTTTTATTATAATGAGACGAAATTACCTCAATTCACTGTATTTTTGTGTAAAGCGTGCTATTAAAAATCATTTTAATTGCTTTTGATGTAATTTACGAATTTTCGTAACGATGCTATCTTAATGGTTTGAAGGTTTAACTTTAAGCATGCTAATTAATAAATACAGGCAATATTTAAGGTCACAAAACCATACATACAAATGTATTTTCTCTAAATAAACATACATTTTTCTTAATTGATTCTGACTCTCCAAACTTAGACTCTTAGCCAAAATCTGTATGATATGGTATCAATAGCTTAGAGAGCAGTAGAAAGTTTGAACTCCTCCTTTATGTTGTTTTTCCTTTTGGCCTATTTTGTAATATATTTGGNTTCTTGGTGTGTCGATTTTTTTGTTATAGAGTGTATTTTAAAGCACGTCACCGCTGTGCATTATTAATGATGTTATAAAAAGTAAGGTATTCCAGCAATAGCCCGGCTTAGGTCCCGTAAGTTTAGGATCGATAATTTCACGACAAACTGCATGATCAGCCTGGTCAGCACTGAGCACAGGGGGCATTAACACTAGGAATAACCTTCTTCTTAACTCTATGAGTAATAGTAAAGCAAAGCTTTCTTTCATCAGTCCTGTGGAAGCCAGAGACGGGGAAGTTTGGGCCAGAAATTTCATTACCAAATGGCATAATTGTGACACTGCGGTCAGCAATGTGCACAAATCACCTTTACTTCCCAGACCAGCTGGTACCCAACGATTTGATGCTGGCTGGATTTCAAGTCCCCACTGGTGATCCAACCAATGTCTTTCACCGTGACAGTTCAGTGCGTTAAGGTTGTTTTTTGAAGGCTCCGTCGTCATATGAAATGATGCTTTTTGTGAATAATATGCTATTTTTATAACTGTTGTGAGTTTGCAACAGTTATTCAGGGCTGTTGGGCCAAGTTTAGCCTATCTGAATCCGGCGCTGTATGTGCTTATTTTGAAACTTGCGCAAAACGCCATTATGGGGAATAGCCAGAGAAATATGTGAAAATGAAAAGCGTTTGTGGTCTAATTTTTCAATATTTAAAAACTTTCTCCAATGCTATATTATCTGGGATCATAAAAATTTTCAAAAACTGAGAATAACCCTGTGGTTTTTCATAATTTTCATCAAAGCAGAATTATGTCACTAAATTGGCGATTTTTAAAAAAAATAATAACTTTTAAAATATTTAAGTTATTTGTTTGCTTCAAAGGTCAGAAAATTTTTCACGCCAAAAATTATAGATACAGTTTGAAATAATCGCATTGCTTCAAGTGTAAGGCACTTAAACTGAAGCTTCTTTATTTCCTTGAAGTCAGATCTTCGAAAAACAACATTAACCACTGTGCCATCATTGCGCAGTCCTATAATAAAGTTACATATTAAACACACTTCTGAAAACAATGAAGATTTTAGGTTAGTTTTAGTTAAAAATTCATTTTTTTTAAAACCATTTGTCCTATAATAGGACTAGTACAACTCTCGCATGAGCATAAATAGCATGTGCGACAAGACGTGTTCAAAAACCTTCAAGTTTTGATAACATTATTGAAATCTGAATCTTTTTTAAATTCATTTAACTTGTAATGAATTGAAAATTGCTTTTAAATACTCTAATTTATTAAATAAAATTAGAAAATCGTGAGAATTCTACAAAGAATTTATTTCTTCCTGAATATTTAATAATCACACAAAATTTAATCAACATTCACAAGTGTTCTGAATAACCTTTGATGGTAATGCATGAAAATGGTTTTAAATCGTTTAATCATTCGGAGTGATCGAAGTAATATATCATTTCAATTTCAAAGCGACAGTCAAAAATATAATCTTAAGACAAAATGGCCTTTAAAACGTGTTTATCTCCAATATCGCCCCGTATCGATAATTGATTCTTCGTGGAATGCTCCCTATTATTCGATTAAAGAGATTCAAAGAATTTTGTGTCAGCCAATAATTTAAAATGTCATTAATATGTAAACGGTAAACTGATTGATAACAGCAGACGATAATGAAATCTTTATCAATCTTATTTAAATCAGATTATAAATGACTTAAAGTTGTTGCTAAGTTAATGTATAGAAAAACTATCCATTCATATTTTCTCTGAGAAATATGCTGTAACCCGCTTAAATTGTTTCGCAAAGACTTTCAAATTGAAAATTAGGAAACATTAGGAAACATCATCATTTCTAGAATAGTTTCTTCGAACGTTTACGTCTTACTTTCTCAACTTTAAAATTTTATTTGTGAATTTACGTTTAATTTAAATATGTTTCCCTAACTGCAATTTCAAATAGTTTGCATGGATAAACTCTTTAGACACAAATTATTCGATAACTGTATGTTGTACAAAACTTGGAAACTAATTTTAACATATTACCGGAATATTTACGTATTACTTATATACTAGTCTGGTTGATGAAACGTTGAACTCGTGTTCGTAAGAACGAGAGTTCAAATCTAGCCGGCCGAAGAATCCCCACGTATTAAATGATGTGCGGTGCACGTTAAATCTATAGGGGTCACAAAGTTCTTCAAGTTTCCATAACAACTCAATACTTCTGTGGGTACTAAATTGGAGATTGATCGTTCTATGGTTCAGGTCGAATTTTCGATCTGCGGTTGGATAAGTGTGTGAATCAGTCCTCCCTATGAAACTGGTTGTGACGTATATGTGTGGGAAGTCCTATTCCTGGCCATAGATGGCGCCACTGAAAAACAAGAAGCACACCCTCTGCCTTAAAAATCGCCTTTATTAATTAATATGTACTCAGTCGATTCATTGTCTAGAACAGTTTGGCATTCGATTGAATGACTAATACTGTTTAGGAAAAATATGAACAACAATACCAGCACACAGACCTGTACTAGATCCTTTAGGATCTTACACGTTAACAGCTGAGGATCGAATCTTTAATTGAAGGGAGGATAATTAATAAACACAATTATTTTTCGTTAGAAATTTCGGTTTGACCTTCCGCATTTCCGGGCACTGCGACATTTGTCCCTCCCACCCCCGAGCTTTAACTTCATCACATATAAATTTACCATGTGTATCCGCACTATTAGAAATGATTCGGACAATAACAATTTATTTAATTGTTATTTGACCATATTCAAACAGAAAAGTCAAACAACCATAAGTAAAAAGTTATTCAAACTGTTAACTGTAACTGTGAGAAAGACCGTTTATCAACTATTTTCATCTGATATGGTAAAACAACCAGAATTTTATCGCACTTAGTTCCTTGCAGCTAGGTACATATTATAGCCGAAATGGTTAAATTGTCAATCTCATGTCCGACAGACCCAGAGTTGAGAAAATATTCCCTCCATTCTCTTCAACACATGAAGAGTTTCCATTGTTCCTGCACTGTCCAATTTATGACGCTGGACTATTAGAATAGGATACATTAATTCACGCATAGGTTACAACTCCATAAATCTGCTTACCACAAAAAAGTCTTGTTTTTCTCATCTCTTACAATCGGTGAAACAACCAGATATACAAATTAAATACACGATTCCTTTGATAAACCCTAACTCGACTACTACATAACTCCAATGTCCATTACCTAATGAAAAGCCTAGGTCCAGCTAAATTTCTTTTTTGCGGTTTTGAACCCATGCTAATTGTAAATGGTTAATAAAAACAGGAATACAAGACAATATGGGTTATTTTTAAGTATACTAGTTGCTAACGGTTTCACAACCGTAAACTAAAAAAATGTACTTTACCGTAAACTTTATGGTTAAATGGATGGACGGACTGCTGCCGGTTATTTTACTGTTTTAGAATGAAAATTTTCTGTCGAGTCTGGTTTCCATAGAGTTCACACGCATACCCGGTCTTATCCCACTAATGGGTAATTTGACTTTTTTCTAAAAAAAAACATTTATAAGAGAAGTAGCACATCTGAGACTTTTCTGGACTGATATACTGTACACAAGTAAACAATGAATATCCTAATGAAATTTGACCATTTCTTAATAGAATAGTTTAGCTCCAACCGTTCTTCTAACCTTAGCTTCCAGATCTTACCCCATTTTCCCCTAAGCGCACAATAACGATTAATTCGATATTTTGATTGACATAAAACCATATATAGTAACATATTAGTAAGACCATATTAAAATCATGTTTTATTTGTAGAATTTGTAATTTCACCGTAACATATGCTTTTGTAAGTTAAATACTTACATAATTAAATTACCCAAGCCAAAACAAAAATATTATTGAACTTCGTTCAACTTGAGTTGTTAAGAAAAGTAATACAATTGTATGACAGTACTTTAAAAACATGAAGACATAAGAAAAATATAAATAATGCTTAAAAAATACATTAGCACTTTAAATGACTATTTCATATGCAACACCAAGTTATGATATTGTAATGAAGTAGACGATTGATTAAATACTTTGATGAAAAAAATGCTAAATGGTTGATCAAAAAAACAACGAAAATTATTAAATGATTAAACCAGTTATCCTATAAAACATTTGCAAATTTCTCATTTGTCATTCTATAAATTATCTAGGCAATTTGTTAAATATTAACCAATTTCATACTTTTTCAGTCAAACTTAGACATTCTATAGATACCTGGATTTCGTACATTTACAGTATTATAAACCAGTTATCGTATAGAACACTTGTAAATTTCTCATTTGTCATTCTATAAATTACCTAGGCAATTTGTTAAATATTAACCAATTTCATACTTTTTCAGTCAAACTTAGACATTCCATAGATACCTGGATTTCGTACATTTACTGTATTATATATCTTAAGTTTTTTTTCTTTTAATTAGTATATCAAGAAAATTTACAAATCATAAAACAAGCTCAATTGAAGTTATTGAATATTAAACTTAATATAATTAATATAAGAATGGTATTTAAATAAAACAATGACATCAACATTTTTATAAGTTAGTTCTGTAAATATATTAGTAGTTTCAATAAATGTTTATCTATAAAACAAACGATACCATCCGACTATACCTTTAAAAAATATTTTTATTATTTCCCATATCATCAAAAAACGTATATTTTTATTTCTCTTTGTTTCAGAAATATACTATATATGAGGGAAAAGGAAAATACAATGTAGAACTTCATGATAAGAATAAGAAAGTAATGCACGATCTCTGGACAGAAATGTCAGAACTAGCTGATTATAACAGGGTTTGTATCTTTTTTAATCCTTTTCACTTTGTTCAAAGCTACTAATTGCTCATGTGCAAAAATTATTCTTATTATTAAAAATTATTGTATCTTTTTTAATCCTTTTCACTTTGTTCAAAGCTACCAATTGCTCATGTGCAAAAATTATTTTTATTGTTAAAAATTATTGTATCTTTTTTAATCCTTTTCACTTTGTTCGAAGCTACTAATTGCTCATCTGCAAAAATTATTTTTATTATTAAAAATTATTGTTTTTTTTTAATCCTTTTCACTTTGTTCACAGCTACTAATTGCTCATGTGCAAAAATTATTTTTATTATTAAAAATTATTGCATCTTTTTTAATCCTTTTCACTTTGTTCAAAGCTACTAATTGCTCATCTGCAAAAATTATGCTTTTAAAAAAAGAAAAGAAAACCTAGAATAACAGGAAGAAAATAAAAAGTGCATGTATATAAGTGATTACTCAAATGAAAAGTGAACAAAATTCAGTTACGATAGTATTTTGCGTAATAGAAGAAGTTAATAGGGGTGTAATAAAAATTTTTTGTAATTGATTATCCAAGTCATGTGAGACCCTTTAAAGTGAATGCAAAGTCACGTTAAGACAGGCATTTAGGATTAATCAATTAGAATGATTTTTAGGGGCCGAAGTTAATTTACCGTTCCTATATTCAGCCAAAGAGCAACACAGCTATCAAGAGTTATGATTCTTTGATTATTACAAATCATTTCTTCAACAACAGCAAAAGATTCAAGGGAGATTGTGTATCGTTTGTCCTGGGATTTCGCACATCCGATATTCATTAACGCTGTTCCCGAAAACTTTAGCTTTATTTGTTTACATCCTTCTGTCCTGATCAGTGATCGCTATATAGTGAAAAATGTCCTCATTATACTCACTTTCTGAAACTGTAATCTTACTACTACTGTTCTGGTTGCATGCATCTCGGGATGGCTTTACATTTACGTTAAATGCTCTTATGTTAGCTGGTTAATTAGTTATACGTAATTTGCTGTGCACTCCTCTGACCCTCATTTTCAAGATTGATTCGTCGCTGTTCTGTTATCACCACTGTATTTCAAAAGCTATCACTCGTGTCCACTTATTATTTCTCCAAGTTTTTTAAACACTAATTGTACAAGATGTTTCATAATGATCGCCCGTAATATATATTCAGCTCCAAGTCAAAAGTGAAGTCCAAACAATATACATATTTGGAATAACAAATTAACATTTAAGCTAAGAAAAGACTAGGGATTTGAAACACTAAAATTAGATTACTTGAAATTCAAACACGTTTTTAATAACTAACTTTTATTTCCTCTCTTTCTCCGTCAAAAAGGCTGTTTCGGGTGTTTTTATTCCTATATATGGTGGTTTATTAGTTTCAATATTGTTTTCGGTTTTTCCTGGCATAGATATTAATTTGCATCTCTAATGTGTGTACTTTTTTGATGCTAAAGATTTTAAAACTGCATACTATGGTAGTCATAATGTAACATTCTAAATAATAAAATAAGGATAGAGGCTATAGATGAAATTTGATAAATACAAAACTAAGCACATCACTCATTTTTTGAACGATTTGAATCAATCGAACCCGAGTATTAAAAGCGAAATTAATGCTCATTCCTTAGTTTATAGCTCTCTATTTCTGTAATAAATTACAAGTTTTTCCTTGTTTCTTTTTTTTAAGATTAAAGATAGTTTTTTTAATGAAGTAAGAAAAGCCATATTCATATAAAAAAAATTCGGTTTTAATTTCAAAATTGTTCATTTATATTTTATTTTTTAACTAATTTCTAAACTTTTGAATTGAGTGATTCGAATAAAAAACTGACCATTCCCTTTTTAATTTTAATTCTAAAATAAACTACCATTTTCAACAAAAACTATTTAAACTAAGTACTGAAAAAAGTCCTTTAAAAAGCATCATTTTTATTATAATGAGACGAAATTACCTCAATTCACTGTATTTTTGTGTAAAGCGTGCTATTAAAAATCATTTTAATTGCTTTTGATGTAATTTACGAATTTTCGTAACGATGCTATCTTAATGGTTTGAAGGTTTAACTTTAAGCATGCTAATTAATAAATACAGGCAATATTTAAGGTCACAAAACCATACATACAAATGTATTTTCTCTAAATAAACATACATTTTTCTTAATTGATTCTGACTCTCCAAACTTAGACTCTTAGCCAAAATCTGTATGATATGGTATCAATAGCTTAGAGAGCAGTAGAAAGTTTGGACTCCTCCTTTTTGTTGTTTTTCCTTTTGGCCTATTTTGTAATATATTTGGAACTACTTAAGCGTGAAAAACTACAAATCAATGTTTTCAGAATTTGCCAGCTATGGCGTTGGACACTCTAGATTCCTTCCCGCTTTTACTTCTTGATGCAACTCGATATATCCTGCGGCTTTTTTTTTTTTCTGAGTTTTTTTACTCTTTCCTCTGACAGAGAAACTGCATATTACAAAAACAACCGATCTGCTTTACGAGCCATTTGTGTTTATAAACGATGATTTATCTTTTTGTTTTAAGATTTACATTTATTAAAAAAAAAATACCTGCTTTTAATTTGACTTTTCAGGATGGCAACGTCACTGTGGAAGAGTTCAAGCAAGGCGTCCAAGGCGTGTGCATGGGCAAGACGTTCGAACAATTTCCACAATCCCTTAAACATGCTATCAACTGCAAGTTCCATGCTACTGACGTCAATTGTATGAAAATTTAATTCCATCTTAATTTCAATAATTCTAATCTCATTTATTATACATTATCTATCTTAATTTCAATCATTCTAATCTTATTTATTATACATTAATTGCATTTTAACTTCCTAAGATGAGCTATTTATTACACATCATAAAAGTGTGGCTTGCTAGCCACAATCGAACAATAGTTTCAATCGAACAAAACTTATATTTACTTTTAGATTTTAAAATTCGGAAATAAAATGTAAGAAAATCACTTTGCAGTTGCTAATTGCATTTTTAATAAATTAGTTGAAGTTGTAGTTAATTACAAAAAATGTAGTTTAACAACCACTGAGCTTATATTCATTACTGACGCTAGCAGTTGAATTAAGCATATTATCTGTAAAGATTTCATTAAATAAAAGAGTATAAATTCATTTGAAAGAGAAAAAAAAAAGAAAACATTCTATTTTCTTTTACAGGTGATGGCCTTGTATCTTTAGAAGAATTCCGATTGGACTGCGTGAACCGCAGTGCTTTCCAGGATATAAAAGAAATAGATGACTGTTACGACAAACTTGTAAATGTAAGGAAACTTTACAACTTCTTTCTAAGAAAATTATTTTAAAAATTTAAAAATTGTGTTTCCTTAAATTTTCATTTTAATACTTATCGTTAATTTAAAAATCCTAGAACTTTTAGGAAGTTAAGTTTTTAAATACCTTAAGAATATATTCAAAAGAGTTAGCTTAGAGCTAGCAAAACAAAAGTCTCTTTTAAAGTTAAAAAAAAAAAAAAATTTAAAAACCTCCATTTACTAATACAAAATGTCAATCCAAAGATATAAGGCTGAAGACAATCAGAGTAGAAATTCAAGCAAGGTTTACGCAGCGTGTGCAAAAGATTTTAGAACATCTTCTAATTAGGCTTGACGACCAGAAATAGAGTTTTTAAAACTATTTTTGAAATTAGCGGACACAATTTCTCGAAAAGTAATGCACAGATCTTATTTAAATTTTTCACACTCTAGCACATTTCCTCTATAGATTGATGACAGAGTAAAAAATTTCTGTTAAAGTACAGAGAGAATTTCTGGTTAAATTACGTAAGTATATTGCTCAAACACCTATAACTGAGTTTCTCTTTAACGAAAATACAAAAAATATAAGGTTTTTTTTCCAGTGCATTTCTTTATAAGGATTTTCCACAAGTTATTTTAATATATTACTATTTATTTGATATGTAAGTAGTTGCCCATTCATTGTGGTGCATTCGGTCTTCATCTATCACTGCTTCGGCCGAAGTTCGATACCCCGTGCTAAGAGCTAGGGGTGTTTGATTGTCCTCGATTGCGCTGCAGCGGTTTGGAAGCAGCTCCAATGTAACATGGCTGGCCGTTTCACAAACGGTAAAGAATTAAATGTTTAAGAGCCGGAAATTACTTCACAGAGTTTAACTTACTTGAAATACTTAACTTACTTGTTTATAAAAAAAAATTCTTGGTATGATTATAGTCTTCACCTTCCTCCGCTTTGGCTGCAGATCAATTCACGGAGCTAAAAGCTAGATGTGCATTTTTTATGAACGTATTTCGACTGTGTCCACCTATCTAAACAAGCATTTCAAGCTGTATTTTTTTTCTCAAACTTGCATTTTCAACTGTGTCCATTTTCGTAAATCCGCATTTCAAGCTGTGTCAATTTTCGTAAACACGCATTTCGGACTTCGGTCTGTCTGTATTTTATTAAACACGCATTTCGAGCTGTACCCATTTTCTTAAACACGCTTTTTGACCTGGTTCCATTTTCATAAATTCGTATTTCAAGCTGCTCCAATTTTTAAACCCAAATTTCGAGCTGTGTTCATTTTTATAACACGCATTTTAAGCTGTGTCTGCTTACATAAACATGCATTTCGGGCTGTCTCCATTTTCTTAAACACGCACATCAAAATGTGTCCATTTTTTTACGACATGCATTTCGAGCTGTTTCTATTATCGTAAATACGCATTTCAAGCTTTTTCCCACTTCGTAAACACTGATTTCAAGATATGTTCATTCTATTGAAAACGCACTTCAAGATTTGTCTTATTTTCTTAAACTAACTCGTATTTTAAGCTGTGTCCATATTTTAAGTACGCTTTTCAAGCTGTGTTCATTTTATTAAACTCTTGCATTTCAAGATTTTTCCCAATTTCTTAAACTCGTATTTCAAGCTGTGTCCAAGATTTTCTCATCTTCTTAAATTCATATATTTCAAGCTGCTTCCATTTTTAAATACGCATTTCAAGCTGTATCTATTTTCGTAAACACACATTTCAAGCTGCGTTCTTTTACTGAAACATGCATTTCGAGCTGTGTCCAGATTTAAAAACTCTCCAACGATGTAGTAATTATTTCACAACAATATAACAGAAAATGTTTCGATATAGATACTTTAAATTTTCCTGTCATGAAACAAATTCTCAAAATAAATTGATAACATGGTTACATATCATTATATTTTATTTGATTACATATTTTTGTAATTACATATTTTTTTTCAATTGTATATTTTGACATTTGTATTCATTATTAATACTTTTAAATACCATCATTTATTTAATAAAAAGTTTCGTTCGCGTGGCAAATATCTTCACGTGAAAAGAGTATTGTAATTCAAACTTTTTTTTCAAAAAAAATTATCTTCAAATTATCTTTTCTCACGGAATCAACTATATAGTAAAATGGATATTGATGAATATTCACTACCATTTGTAAACATGCAGTGCTTTATTTCAATTCTAAACATCATTATCCTGCTCTTAATGTGAGTCATTAACGAAGTATTTATAGAAATGCTGCATTCTCTAGAATAAAAAATAGAAAGGAGTGGAAAAAGAACAATCCTTCTACCCCATCTAAAGAAAAGAAAGAGAAAAAACGAAAAGAAATTCCTGTGTTCTTCTTCAACAAAGGCTGCAATTATCAACAGTCACTATTAACAGTTGCTTCCCCGCATTGTTTATCACAAACATTTGTTAACTACAATCATTGTTTTTTCTCACGAAAAAGAAACTGAAACTCGAAATTCTTAAACTAAACATTTTTTTCAAGTCAAGAATTAAAGAGTGTTACTGGTTTTATTTTTAAATCTAACCTTCACCTCGGTAATAAATTGTAGCAGTTTTCTTTGAATCTGATACTCACAAAGGAACTAATCGCTTCGGAAATAATCATGTTTAATGTTATAAAAATGTTAGCATAAATACTAAATGTCACTGGTCTGCAAATATATTTGGATTGACATTGATTTACATAGAAACATAAAAAATTTGTTTCTAAAAATTATATTTTCATGGAAAACTAACTTGTTTAAATCAATTTGAATGAGACAATGTTCAAGATTTACATTCAACTATATTACATGTTTCTAAACCAGATTATATCAAAATTCTCAAAACGTCGTTTAACATGTTTATCTAAAAAAGATATTTTTTGACATAATTTTAAACGGTCTTAGTCCAGGCGTGATTTCGTCGACTAACAAGAAAAAAATAGCTGATTTAAAAAAAAAAATAGCTGATTTAAAAAAAAAATGCTAATTACAGAAAAACGCACTAGTAAAAATTGCTAGTAATGTCAAATAGTCTGGATTTTCGATAATTTTTTTTTCTTTTCATTTTTTACATTATTTTTCAAAATCCGATATTTTTAATACGATATTATTATGAAAAGTGAATTTGGAATTAGAGTTATCACTTATTGACGCCTTTGCGTAACAATTCCATCGCTAATCTCCATCTTTTCCAATGATTTTTTCAATATTTATTAATCGCTTTTTCAGCGATCGCTATTTGATTGTTCAAATTCGGTATTTTTAAAACGATAATATTGTAACACCCAAAGTTTGAATTTGAGTAATCACTTTTTGATGCGCATGATTCAAGGCTATTCTGCCGTTAATTCGTGACGTTTTTTATTTTATTTTATAACCGTCGTTGAACAGTCGACCCAATTTCATGGGTTTACGACTACTTCCGTTCAACTCCGTAGCCTTGTAATTTTGAACCAATCCAGAAGACAAGGAAACTCCTGGATCAGTACCCCCAGAGGTTTTGATTTGTTGTGGGAACATGGAGGACTTTGAGACTCGACAGATTTAACGTGCATCAGTCACCATTTACTACACGGGGAGTCTTCGGCCGGCGAGGATCGAACCCACGACCTCTTGGATATGGGCCCAGCGCCCTACCGACCAGGCTATCCCGGCCCCGTGACGTTTTTTTAATAGTTTTTTCGACAAGTTATTTTTCCTTTTTACGGCATTTTTACATGGTCATCCAAATTCCGATATTTTAAGTATGCTATTACGCCAGGTGAATTCATAATTTTGAGCAATCACTTTTGACTCGCTCAATTCGTGTCTATGCCGTCGCAAATCAACGTGATTTTCCAATCGTTATCTCGGCATTTATTACAGTTATCTTACTTCCGGTCAAATGATTTCCACATCGTTTTTAAAATCTTGATGTTTTAAATACGATATTATTACTACTAACGTATTCGGGATCGCGCATTTGGAATTTCATAGGAGTATAAATATTTACCATTCAGTGATCGTTTTATTGAAATAAGTCCTGCAGCGATGATTATGCTGAATTTCTGCAACAGAAAATATAATGCGATACCGCTTTGCTTGTATGAATCTTAGTTTTGCGAGTAATTATTTTTTAACACTAGCGAATTTTGCTGCTGATTTTGAAAAATGAAATTATGTCGTACGTTTACACGAAACTTCAATTATTGTTTAAACTAAGTATTAAACCAGGGATGGCGAACCAATGGCACGCGTGCCATTTATGGCACGCGACAAAATATTTTGGGCACGCCACCGATCACAATTGTTATTGCACTATGAATTGTTATTACACAAATGTTATTACACTATGAACCATATGTAAAAATTAAATTAAAATTCACAAAAACAAACAAAATAATAAACAATTATTAATAAAAAAATTAACAATTAATGCTAAAAAAACGATTAATAAGCATAAAAAAACAAGCTAACAATAAATATCTAGCAAAAAAATCAACAGTCCTGCTTAAACAAATATCTTACAACTTAATATAAGTTATTTGTCCTTTAATCTGCAATAACAGAAGTCCCTCTGATGTTACTTTAAGTTTAATTACGCGTATAACTGAGACATTGCAAAATGTATTTTCCTTTCAATGTAAATAAAGAATTTTGAGTTGATAGTATTTAGTATTATTATTTTCCCAATAATCATGAAGTCAAAATTATTTAACGGCACGTCCGTGATTTCATTAAACAATTTTTTAGAAAAAATGGCACGTTGGTGTATAAAGGTTCGCCACCCCTGTATTAAACACTATCGATACGTTTACACGAAATGAAATTCCGGTCTTCTTCAACTAAGACAGGATTATTTATCACAAATGTTTGCTTATAACAGTCATTGTTTATACGCACGGAAAAAAGAAACTGAAACTCTTAAATTCAACGATTTTACTTTTTGGTACTGAAGTTCTGCCAGAATAAAAAGAGTATCCTAGGTTTTAATTTTAAACTCGACCTCGGTAATTTGTAACAATAATCTTCAAATCTGAGTTAAAGTTATTTACAAAAAACATCTATCAAAAATCGTTTTATTCGAAATAAATTAAATAAAATAACGTACAGCGTGCAAAAATTAAACATGACACTTGAACATTTGGTCTAATAATCGCATTTTCACGTGGTAGACTGCAATTCGAATGATTTCAGGATCTAACATTAACTATGCTAATTAATTTAGGCCGACAATAATTTAAGAAACGAAATCAAATATAAAAGCTTACTTTTCTGAATAAACATACTTTTCTTATCGGATTCAAATTCTTAAACTGCTAAACATGGCGAATAGCCACAATTTGGAAAAATCAGGTCCCAATATTCAGAATAGGTCAGGGTTCAAAACATTATCCAATGGGAAATCGGGTTTCAATATATTATCTAACCAAGGATTTGAGATATTGATACAATCCTAGAATTTCGTTGCTCCGTTATGCAGTTCCATCATCATATAAATACCCCATTAAGGATTTTTTTTTTAATTTATTTTTTTATAAAAATACTTAAATTTATAAACATTTCATGTCTTGTTTCTAATTTTAATGCAGACAGTTTTTCTTTAGGTAGAATATTATTTTTCCTTGCCGTATTACAATGAGTGACCCATAAAAATAAAAGAAGATTTCTGGGACATATACATCCCAAGTTGATAAGATAAGGTTGTTTTTATTGTTTTCATATAATAAACTTTCAAAATCATCCAAATTATTATTTTAAAAAAACGTAAAAGGATAAAAATAATACTTATATCATGTTTGCTTTTTCTTCAATTAATTTCCTCACGAAATGATGCATAAATCTGCACAAACATGTCATTCCTTCAAAGCTATGTCGCCTTCTCAGTTGTAAAAGTCCTGCTAACCATCCAAATAGAATGTAGGAAGTTTATAAGACTGTAATGTCCAAATTTAAAGTTAAAATCGGAGCTATTTAGACCAAAAGTCCACATCGGACATATATGAGAGTAAGATTCGAAAAGGTTAAATTTATAAATATTTGTTCTATGATGTTTTACGTCTATGTTTCTTGTTACGAACTATTTGAAACATGGAAAATAAATGTTCCGCCACATTTGATTATTTTCGCACGTGTCAAACCGATTATAGAAGGATTTCGCCAATTTCTTTTCAATTTTAAAACAGGTTTGCCAAGATATATAGATTAGAAACCACAGATATGGAATAATGAAACGGAAAAACTAAATGTTGCCTTTGGAATTAAATGAGTTTACTTCTTTCTCTAATTATTTAGCCATTTTTTTAATTTATTTATCTTAGGATGCAGACAAGGCAGCTGGCGGCATTAATCAAGCCCGTTATCAAGAATTATACGCCCAATTCATTGGATCACCAGAATCTGACGTTCCCGGATGTTACCTCTTCGGACCACTCACCGTTTTTGAATGAATCAATTCCTACACTCTAATCAAGACAACATAATTTCACTGAAAAACAAATTATTTAATTCTACGCCCTGCAATTTCATGGTTATCAATATGTTCTATCAATGTATCTTTGTATCAGGATGTCAATGTGCTTCATACAAAGCCATTTCGAAGAGACCAGAAGTGGCTTTTAATGTGGACTTTGTGTTCTGTGCTGAAAGTGTGAACATAAAATATGAATATAACATAAAATATGAATATCCCAAATGTAAACGTTTAGAAAATGTGTTCGTGTGTCAAGAGATGTGTTTTTATGTGTTATATTACTGAAACCTACTAATTTGTAGACTTCAAATGAACCTTATTAAAATATATCTAATTGTGATGCAGTACTAATTTATTTTAATATGTTTATATTTGAATAACATTATTAAAAAACTTAAAAGTTGCTAAAATTTTTATCCTTCGATTCAGGTGCAAGTTGGTATTTAATAAATTTATAAAAATAGTCTAAAGAGTAGTCGATATTTAACAAACATCTATAACTTAAAACAAAATTTAATTACTTTTTAATTTTAAATTTTATTAAACAGAATTATTTATTTCTGATTATATGTAATGCTCATGGTAGCACTAGTGTCAATTGTTAAAATCATTGAATACTATTGCCAAAATTGCATAATTCGCTAATAAAATATATCTAGTTAAGATACAAATTTATTTTTAATACGTTCATATTTGAATACGTTAATAAATAACTTAACCTAACTAAAAATTTCTTTCCTTCGACTCAAGAACATGTTAGTATGTAACAAATCATTAAAAGTAGTCCAAAAAATAGTTGATATTAGACAAATTCCTTTAAACTTCAACGAAATTTAAAAAAAAAATATCCATACATTTCTAATTATATGCAATTTCTATGATAGCACTTATATCAATGATTAAAATCAATATTTAATACTATAGCCAATAATACACATTTAAATGATAAAATATATTTAATTGAGATTCAGAACTAATTTGTTTTCTTTATGTATATGTTTGAATAACGTTATTAAATAGTTTTAATTTTCAACATTCTGTACAAGTTGATATTGCATAAATTCATTGAAATAGTCCAAAGCATAGACGATATTTAACAATTTCTTTTAGTCTCAAGACAAATTTTTTTTAAAAAATGTGTTCATTTAGGAATATATGTAATGTCAATGATAGCACTTTTGTCAGTTGTTAAAATACTATTGACAATATTGCACATTTCGTTATTATATCAAAGATCTGTTTTGCAGAAGTGATTTATATTTGTTAGTGTGTATATTTGTATAACGTTATAATTCATTTCAAACAATATGTAATGTAATATGATACCACATATATCAATTGTTGACTATTATGGAGAAGAAAAAAATCTATTTACAGTTATTCGAAATTAAAAAAATTATAAAATACTTATCTCAGATTTAAATAAAGTATATATCTATATAAATATGAGTTTTAAACAGACTTTTAAATAATGTGCTTTCTGAGCTAGCCATAAGTATCTACTGCCTTGCTTCTAACAAGAAATAAGCATTTAAAGCAGAGCTCTAAAATTACTGAATTTAGAATAGAATTTGTACTATTTTAACAGCAAAATATATATTCTATAAGTGAATTAAAAAAAAAACGTTATGTATATTTATACTAAAAAGTAGTAAATTTTTGCAGTATTATATATCCAGTAATTAGACATATTTAAATAACGTTACTAATTGTATTAATTATATTTATGCTCCACAGAGCTATAATCTTGCACGCAACGCGGCTTTATACTTCGCGATCGTGGTCGAATAAGTGCATAGTTATACTTAGACCAGAATTGCTTAGCTAGTATAGTTATATGCTTGTCATAATAGCTGCTAAAAGCCTATGAAATAAATTTTAGAGAAAGCCTAGTAAAGAGTTTAAAACAGAGTTACTAATAATTCAGTAAATGCGTCCTGAGAAACGGTTTAGTTATAAATTTGTTTTTCTATTTGATATGATATGCAAGCGTAGGAAATACTATTTAACTTTTAAAAAAACAATCCATATTATAATTTTTTTTATTTTATCTTGAAGTAAATCTAAAAGACAACTATGAAAAAAAATCGTTTTATGTGAGTTTTGTAATTTATTTGTCTTTCTTAACGTCCAAGTTGCATTTCTTCAATTATTTTTTGTACTCAAATACTAAATTCCATGAAACTTGATTAACATCTGCTTAACTCATTATTGCTAAATTCCTATCTTTTTAATTATTTTTGTCATCTAATATTAAATGAATGAACTAGAAAATTACTAAAATAAAACTTGCTGTTTTACTTAACTCTTCTTAATAATAAACCATAAATTCACAAGTCTAATAATTCCAATTATTTTTAGTTCACCAATACCAAATAAAATGAATGAAAATACAATTGTAAAATTACTAAAAGATAATAGGGCAATTTTCGCTTATGCTCAACCTATTAGTCGCATTTTCCCAATTATTTTTATACACTAATATTAAATGCAATGAAATAAGCTGGCAAATACCTAAAAAATTATTGCTATTTTCTAACATTCTGTTCATTTATTATTCTCACATCGCATTTTCCCAATTATTTTTCATACACTAATATTAAAGGCAATCAAATAAGCTGGAAATATACTAAAAATCCTGCAATTTCCTAAGACCTGCTAATTTCTTTAATTCCAAAGTCGCTTTTTCCCAATGACATTAATACGCTAATATTAAATGCAGTGAAATAAAACTTAAAAATAACTAAAAATCCTGCAATTTCCTAAGATTTGCTTAATTTTTTAATTCCCAAGTCGCATTTTCCCAATTATTTTTTATACACTAACATAAAACGTTATAAAATCAATTACTAAAAAATTCTGTCTGAATATTTTCTAGAAATTTTATTTAAAGTTAAAAACCGTTACATAGATGCTTTATTCGTAATGAGCTATATAAACCAATCGCAGCAAAAGGGACGCCTTGATCGCTTATATTCGTATTTAAAAAATCTAGAACGAAAGTTGAATATTCTAATGAAAATATGAGTAAATATAACTGAATAATATTAATGACTAAAATAAATTTATGTAAATCAAAAATACAATTTTTACAAGCCTTAAATTTTTTGTCTTTAAATAGTGACAATACTGGGTCAATCAATGTAAACATTTTAGTACTTACTGTAGCATTTGTGTATTCTTCATGATATTTTATTATATAAATTTAAATCAATTGATATAATTTATGATAAATTATTATTAAAATAAAATTAGGAAGGTATTACTTTTACATGTACACGTAGTAAAGATCTACGTATAAAGTTCTAGTGGATTCAAAAAGGAAATTTTATGATATCTAAACATACTATAGCAAGAAAATTCGGTGAACAAATATTGTTTTGCAAAATTTATGGACGTGTGTTATGTATTTAAATATCTTTATTTAACGTTATCTTTTGACATAGTAGTCCAATGATACTGCAATGAGCTTGTAAACAAAGAGTTTAAGAACAGATATCCTATCTTCCTTTTTGATATATCATAAAGATAATGCAAAGTATATAACATATTGTGGTAAAATATATTTGGGAAATGTTGATTTCCTATGTGTAAATGTTTATTTCCTGTGTATGTGTTCTCTGTAATTCACAATGATTTTCATTCTTCATTTCTTGAAAAGAAGAGACGCAAATAAAATGTATTCGTGTACTCGTGGGTTTTTACTCATTGCACTTTTAGTTTGCAGCAGCCAAAAAAGCCAATTCGCAAATCTCCAAAGAATTTTAAGGTAAACTAAAGCAAAAAACGACGTGAATTAAGCACAAAGGAAAATATTTAAACGGACATACTATAGTTTCAATTCTATTAACAAGAACCTTCTTCAGTGTCTAAAACGTCCGAAGTAATAATAGTCAAAGAAAAAAAACGTCATAATCATTAGATATTTTGAAAAATTCCAATAGTTTATTTAATGATATTAGGAGTATCCAACCAACATATTTCTTCAGTGCCTAAACGTCCGAAGTAATAATAGTCAAATAATGAAAAAAAAAAAAAACGTCATAGTCATTAGATAGTCTGAAACGTTCTAATAGTTTATTTATTGATATTAGGAGTAATAAACCGTTTCCCAATATTTGGAAGTCCATTTTAATTTAATTTGTTGCCCCTGGGTATACACTAAATACCCTCACACCTGCTTATCTCCCCATTGTTATTTCCTTGTCCAAACTTGTTCCTATTAGTTTAACCATTTTACATGGGTTTGCCTCTTCTTTCCGGATTCGTGAGGCAACTACTCACTGCAGCCTTGGTTCCTCAGGGATGTTTCCCAGACCTCCGCCAATAGCCCATTGAACAGCTCTAGTGCGACGTAAATGAACTACAACAACAACACTGCAGCCTTGGTTCTTCTTATTTTTGTTGCAATTTGAGAACTACTCAAGCCTATTTCTTTAAAAGCTAAAAGTCTTCCTCGTAATTATTTTTAAACTATTGGTCCTATCAACTTGATTTTGGCATCATTCAATTCAACGTAAAAATGCATAGGAAATGCTACATCACTAGCCTAGAGATCATTATATTTTAAGCTTTCCATCCTTTTGATCCCATCTCCTACTCTGTAAATTTAAGATGGGATTATAACTCACCCAGGACATATTTCTAGTATCCATATTAATCATCCAAAGAAACTTTTTTGGTCGAAAATGTTTAAGTTTAAAAAATAGTTCTTCTGGACATAACTTACTTTCAGTGAAATTAGTATTTAATATATCTGAGCCCCTAAAATATTATTTGCAGATTTGCTTTAATAAAATACAAAATTGAACAGAGATTTCATAACTAAAAATTCATAAAATAAGCTATCATAACTAAAATTCAAATTGTATAACACCACTTTACAAAAATTTTATAGAAATTATGTACTCCAAAAAAATTGACGTGTAAATTTGTAAGATAGATACACTTTGAAAATGCAACATTTTAGTCAACTTTCAATTAAAAAAAAATTCAAATTTCATACCTAAAAAGAATTACAGCACCATTTTTCAAAAAATCCTTCGGATAATATATTTATGCTAAAAAAATATTGGTATAGATTTCACAAAAAAAACTTATGTTATTTCACTAAGGTAAAATTAGAACTCAAATTGTATAACACCATTTTACAAAAATTTCATAGAAATTATGTACTCCAAAAAACATCGTTACTGATGTGTAAATTTGAAAGATAGATACTCTTTGAAAATGCAACATTTTAGTCAACTTTTAATTAAAAAAAATTTCAATTTTAATACCTAAAAAGAATTACAGCACCATTTTGCAAAAAATCTTTCGGATAATATTTTTCTGCTAAAACAATATTGCTATGGAATTCTCAAAAAAACTTATGTTATTTAACTAAGGTAAAATTAGTACTATTTATAGAGAGGGGAGAAAACAATACTTTTAATATCAAATATTATTTAAAAAATTTTTTAAACAATTGGTTTCCATAGGTTTTTTTTTTTTTTGGAAAAAAGGGCTATTTAAAAAAATCNAAAAAAAGACTATAAAATTTTTAAAAAATCCCAAGAACTCTTCAAATGCTTTGGTAGTGAGTTTTGGGATAAAATCTTGATTTTACTAATAAAATTTGTTATGTAAAATGTAAAGCAAATGGTTACAGTATTAAATTTCGATTTCTGACTATATGACTATATTAGACCAATTTTTACAAGATTCTTCCATCAATGAACTTATTTATGTTATAAAAAGATTATTTACTAAAATGTAAACATTTTGCAACGATTTTATTGTACAAGTTTTTGAAGAAAAAAAGAAAATTAATTTTCTCTTAAAAAAGAGAATATAAACAATTTTACCATTAGTTTCTTGAAGGACAAGTTTATCATAAAAGACACTTATTAGATTAATGAAACAAAAAACCATTTTGGCACAAAAATAGGCAGCTATGTACATCCATACAATTAAATTATTTTAATAAACACATGCTATGAGCTTCTAGCAGAGTTTAATCTGAAATAATGCAGAGTTAACTTTGAGTCAAAAAATAAAATTTAGAAAGAAAAAAAAAGATTTTTCGGACTTTATGCCTTAAAGTATAACAGATTTCTGCCCCAAAATAATTACCAATTTAGCAACTTCAGGACATTGGTAAACAAGAAGGAAAAAATCCCAAACGAGGTATAAATCTAAATATTTCTAAAGGCACAACTCCTCCTGAGAAAACTTCTAAATATTGTTTTCATTTTTAGAAGTTTAAATATCATTTAGCTCCTTGGCATTTGCAGTTGGTGCAAACTAGTATAGATACAGAAATGTTTCTAAAATTACGATACATTGAAATCACCTACAGGGGGTGGACAAAATAATGGAAACACTTCCATACTATTACATTTTTTCATATTTCTAAAGAAATACTTAAAGAATCATTTTATAAACTCAGAAGTATTTAGATCATGCAATTTTTCATACTTATGAATGAAGTTTAAAGCTTTCAGAGACTTGAGGGACCAACAATAAATTACAAATGGAAAATAGTGTTTTTGAAGACCCTATGCCAAAAAAAGTAGCAATAAATTTGTAACTTTTAACAATTACTTTGATTATTTAATGCAATAATTGCACAAAATTTTGTAAGCCTAGTTTAAATATTTATAGAAACTTTTATAAAAAAAAATTTTTTATTGTTTTGTTTTTTGATATAATTTTCAAACAATTCAAAAAAATTAAACAAAATTTTTAAAGCAATTTAAAATTAATTGCAAAATTTTTGCTTTAAAATTTGAAAAAAATTCATTGAAAAAGGGCAAGAAAATTTTCCATTTTTTTCTTCATAATTTTGTAGTGAATTCCATTTAGTTGTTGCTGTTGTTACTTTACGTCGCACTAGAGCTGCACAATGGGCTATTGGCGACGGTGAATTCCATTTAGCAACTAATAAAAAAAAGTTCAATTTGAATATCTTAAAAATTTAAAAAGCTTCAAGCAATTTTCTAAGTAGTTTTTGAACTTATTAATATAAACTCAAAATCATAAGGGGTTTTCTACAAATATTATTTTGTATCATAAGCCAAAATTAAATACAAACGATAATACCTTATCAATAAACGTTCGTACACTAAAATATGATTGCATAAGGAAAGAAAACTTGTGAAAGAAATGATACTTTTATAGAAGATCGTTCCCAAGAATGCTGGTGTCATTTTTAATAAATCTTATTTAATAGCACAAATACAATTTTTGATTAATCCCTCATAATTTTGAGCTTTCTTTTTAAAAATATGAAAGTTATTTAAAAAATTGCTTAAAACTTTATTAATTTTTAAGCTATTCAAATTTGATTATTTTTATTAGTTGTCAAATTCAATTCACTATAAAATTAAGAAAAAACAAAATAAAATTTTTCTCGTGTTTGCACAATACAAAATAACTACTTTAATTACTCATATCTTGTACAGTTTCAAACAACTTTTTTTCAAATTTTAAAGCAATAATTTGGCACTCAATTTTAAGCTACTCCATAAGTTTTGTTTAATTTTATTAAATATTTTAAAGTTATGGCAAAAAAAAATTTAAGACAAAAAATAATAGTTTTTTTTTATTTTTATAAAAATGCCCAATGTCTAGGTAAATTTTTAAGTTACGTTTACGCAATTTTATGCAATTATTGCATAGAATAACCAAAATAATTGTTATAAGTTACAAAGTTATTGATAAATTTTTTGGCATAGGGTGTTCAAAAACACTATTTTCTGATTGTAACTTATTATTGGTCCTTCAAACCTCTAAAAGCTTTAAACTTCAACGATAAGAATGAGAAATCGCATATCCTAAACACTTCATATTATAAAATGATACTTTCAGTATTTTTTGAGGAAGATCAAAAAAGGTGTTAGCATAGATATGTTTCCATTATTTTGCCCCACCCCTGTATATAACAATAAATTAACCAGTGTATTTTTATCTAGTGACTGGTAGTATAACTTTCATTACAAAATATAAACGTAAATGATTTCCAAAATGATAGCGTATACTTTATCCTACATAGCCTAAAGTGAAAAACAATTTTAATAAAGCACAAATCAAGTTCCGAAATGGAGATACTATAATTTCACTTCCCTAAACAAGAACCTTCCTCAGTGTCTAGACAACAAATGACATTAGAAAAGTAAAGAGATTAACATGCATAAAATTGTTTAACCAAACAAGACAGAGAAACAAGTTTGAATAAGATAATAAAAAGAAGGGTAATACAGAACAGGTGTAAAGAGATTTCCCTCCAACCCCAGAAAGCTAAAGATTCCATACATTGAATATCCCATGCATTAGAATAGGTTTCCATACATTGAGAAAAGGGTGAAATACCAATGCAAGATCATTAATAAAAATACTAGAATTTTCACAATAAGGAATGACTCTTACAAATCAAGCTTGATAGATGAAGAGCAGCGTAGAATGACTTCAGCAAGAGGAAACTTAAACCAATGATTAGAATTCCAACTATGTAGGGTGATTGAAGATCGTTAATATCCCATCCATCTTTAATATCCCATCCTTTCAGAAAAATGATTTCTCCTTAATATGAATTACATGGTTTATTAATAAATGTCGTAGTTTAAAACTTTTATTACACTCATAACAAAACAGATTTTAACTCTGATGGAAGGAAGGATGAGCTTTCAATGCATCCATCGTCATGACACTAGTTTCTTTTTGCATATACTACAGAGAAAAAGCTTTTCTTTCAAGTTTTGACAAATACACGCATTTCTTAATTTGTTTCGTTATACATTTCAAAACAAAATAAATAGTTTCAAAAAAATTTCAACATATAAACTCGCTAAGTTCTTTGAAAAGGCATTTTGTAGAAAAACGCTACATTATAATATAGAATAGAACTCACTTATAATGGTCTTAGGTTTAACAAGATATAGGATTTTATGAGAAAAACAGAATCTTTTGGTGGTTTATATGTTAATTATGAGTTAAAGTGATTTCTTTTAATAAGGAATTTTTTTCCTGCTTTAATGAGGTAACTAACTTTGCAAGCATGATGCAATTTCAGAATTAATAAAAAAAAATTATTACAAAATTTAGAGCAGCTTTTTTTAAGTAATAAAAATTAAAAATGCATTAGCATTTTAAGGCAAAAATTAAATCTGCAAGCAATCTCTTTTGAATTTTTTATGTTTTATTTTTAACTATTGTCTTTACATTTTTAGATTTAGATACCTTTTCCATATTATCCAGGCTCCTTGCTAAATATGGGTCCTTCATCAGGTTCACTTTCAGAATGAACAATTAATGCATAATTGCTGAATGAGCATTAGGAAACACTCCACAATTAAAGTATTATTGCTCATTTACTTTAAAATATTAATGTGTTGTGAACAGGTGAAAAAAATAAGTTTTGTTTTTAATTTTTAGTGCCGACTCTGAATTTAGATCAAGAGAACATTAATCGGGAAGCTTGTTAAATACAGATCCTACTTTCTTATGTGAACTACCAGAATAAGCAATTAAGAGTAATAATGCATTATTACTCATTCACGAAGCACACTGCAATTTATGCATCATTGCTAATTCACCTTAAAATATTAATGCATTAGTGTTTTAAAGCAAAATTATTTTTATAAATAATTTGCAGTTAACTGTCTCTTTAATTTTTTTAACTATTTTTGAATTTTGATTAAGATTCTGTTTCCATATTACCAAGGCTCCTTGTTAAATAAGGGTCCTACTTCATTAGGTTCAGTTCTGGAAAAGGTGAATGACCAATTAAAGCATACCTATGGTTTAATGCATTGAATGTTTTAAAACAAACATTAAATCTGCAAAAAAATTCCATTAGTTGTTTTCTGATCCTCAATTTATTTGTTCTAACTTCAAATTTGTATCAAAAGTCCATTTGCTTAAAACTCAGGCTCCTCATTAAATGCGAGTTCTACTTTGACAGGTTTGTTTTCAGAATGAGCGATTAATGAGTGCCTTTTTAATGAGTGACTAGCCGTAAAACTTTTACCACAAAGTGTACATTCAAATGGTTTTTCCTGTGTATGAACAATACTATGTCTTTTTAATGAATGTACTAATTTAAAACTTTTGTTGCATACATCACACGAATAAGGTCGTAGGTCTGAATGCGATAAAGAATGAGTTTTTAATACATCCTTTGTCGCAAATCCCTTATTACATATGCTACAGAGAAAAGGTTTTACTTTGAGGTGGTGACGCATATGTATTGTCAAAATTTTTTTGCTATTATAACTTTTCTTACACACGTGACACATGTGCTTTAAGTTGGAATGACAAATAGAATGTTGTCTTAAACAACTATGTGTTTTGAAACTTTTTTTGCATGTTCCACAATAATAGGGTTTTTCTTCAGTATGGACAGTTAAATGCGCTTTTAATAGTCCCACACGTTTAAAACTTTTGCTACAAATATGACATTTATGAGGTTTTACTTCGCAATGAGCACTTTTAAAGTGCCTTATTAAAAAACTTTCAGTGGGATAACTTCTATTGCATATGTCACATGAAAATAGCTTTTCATTATGAACGTACTTATGTTCTTTGAATCTACTATATGTAGAGAAACTCTGGTCACATTGATCGCAAGAATATTTTTTAATTTCAAAGTGAGTATCTAAATGAACATTTAGACTTTCAAATCTGTTATAAGATTTACTACATACATGACAAGAAAATTGTTTCTCCTGAAAATGACAAGCATAATGTTTTTTTAGAGATCTTTCTAACGAAAAGCTTTTTTCACAGACATGACATTTATGAGGTTTTTCTTCGCTGTGAACAGAAGCATGATGTTTGTCAAAATATAGTTTATTGGAAAAAGACTTGAAGCAGATAGAACATATATGATTTTCTTTAACATGCGTAAGGGAATGCCCTTTTAAATGAGCTTGTGTAAGGAAACCTTTGTTGCACTCATTGCATCGGAAAGGTCTTATGTCAGAATGAATTGATTTAGAATGGTATCTTAATTGATCACATGTTCTGAAAGTTTTATCACATAAATTACATGAATATGGCTTTTCGAGAGTGTGAAGACGGTAGTGAACTTTTAAATCATTATGACGAGTATAACTTTTGTTACAAACAGTACAGGAAAAAACTTGTCTTTCTAAATGAGTTTTTGAATGTCTATTTAAAGAGCTCTTAAAACCAAAACATTTATCACAAATTGGACAAATAAATGATCTTTCTTTAGTGTGAACGACGTTATGCTCTCTTAAATTGGCCTGTGTTCTGAAACTTTTGTTGCACACACTACATGAATAAGGTTTTTCCCCACTGTGAATACGTGAATGCTTTATTAATTCCTTATTAGTCTTAAAACACTTATTACACGCAATACATTGATAGCTCATTTTTTTTATTTCTTAAAAATTATCTAAATTTTGCTTTCAATTGGAAATAGATTGTTGACATTGTTTTCATTTTTTGGGGAACAAAGTAAACGTCTATAACTGCTTATTTCTGTTACTTTGAATACTTCTCTGAAACACCTTGACGAGCAAATTTATATTAAAACTATTCTAAATGTATGGCAACGCTCAAACTGAAGAACGAAACTTTCGTCTGTTTTGTTTTCTTGTGGATGTTGATTAATTTAATGAGTACATGTAAATTTATGATTCAATAATGTGAAAAACTGTCGTTCATGTTAAAAAGTCATGACCTCTTTTGTTCCAACAGTCTTTAACTTCGAAATGTTATTTTCTAATCGCAACATTTTTCTATCAATGAAAAAATTGTATATCAATTTATATTCTTCAATAGTTATCTTTGGGTGTAGATAGTTGCCTCGTGTTTTCTGCTTATAATATACAACGATACGATAATGAGATGAATCTTTTCAACTCTGCAGATTTGTTTTTACATATTTCTCGATATGACATATTACAGTCATTTGACTTGTGATATTCACTTTGGACGATGGCTCAAGTGCGTCTTACAAACTTATAATTTTTTAATCATTTCTTTTATAAATATTTCTGTTAACTAATTTAACAAAGGAGTCTAATTAAGAGGGTAGTTGTTAATGTTAAAATATAGAAAAAAATCTATTTTTTGTAAGAAATACTTATATTTTTCCTTAAAAAATATGCTCTCTATTTTCCGCACTTTTTGATTTTATAGTAATTCACATAATTGTTATTCAATAAGTATGGAATCAAATATGCGTACTTAATGAAAAAGCAAATTTGAAAGCTATTCATGCACAGAATCATTTTCTCAAAAGTGAAACAGTTTTCATTTAAAGCATTTTTTATTAAGATTTAAAAAAAAAGTTCAAAACATTGATTTTTAATCAAAAATCTGCTATTACAATAATTTATAAATAAAAAAATAAATCACTACCTACTGTTGGTAATTTATTTTATGATTGATTTATTTTTTTTCGAAATTACTTTGGTAAATAATTTTGTGAGATTTGAAAATGTAGTTAATTCTAAATTTTTTGGGACAGCATTATCTGACTTTCATTAATCCATGGTCTCTCCTCATCTTTTTTCTTGAGTCATCTCAAACCAATTTGTACTTTTGAACCAAAACTAATGTCACCCCGAAGAAAAATTGCCTGTTCCCCACCTTAGTAGAAAAATAAATTGCTAAATTTTTTGTTAGCGTATTTGCACTTGCTGTAGCATAGGTCATACTTTAAGTGATCTCAAACTAGGGTAGAAACGAATAGCTATTTGTCCAAATAATGAATATAAGTCAAAATTTAAGTTGTAAAGTTGAAAAAAAACTATTTAATTCTTAAAACAAAACTTTAATGCTAAAAATAATATTTTCTGAAAATAAAATTATCCATAAAACATTTTAAAGGAGATAATGTCTATCAGAAGCGCTCTTAAAAATGCATCGTGATCATAAAAACACCTATAAATAAAACAAAGATTGTATACAAAGGCAAAACAGAAAAAATAAAAATCAATATTAATTTGTGAAAGAAAACTTTCAAGCTAAACATTTCAGTTTTCTAATAATAGTAAATTTTGATAATTGAAGATAAAAGTCTAATAGAAAACTTCTTAATTGCTGCTGCTTAATGATAACACCTATAAAAACATAAGTTTCTGAAGAAGAAAAAGCTAGATAAAAATCAAAACAAAAATTTTTCTTAATTTTGATAAAAGCGATGAAATTAACTCAAAAATCAACATTACAAAACTCATAATTCAGTTTAATGTAATCTAGTTCCAATTATTCAAATTTTGCTTTTTCATGGGTCTTTCAGAACATAAGTTAACAAGTTTCAAAACTTTAAAAATATGAGTAAAAACTATTTCTAATAATGTATAGTAGGTAAAAAATACGATTTTAGATTATTCTTCATTAAATCTTAAAATTTCACCCGTAAAAGAACTTAGTCTAAAAATAATTTTTCAAATAATACTTTGGCGAATATTTGGCAAAAAGGCTAAATATTCGTTACATCCCTATCTCAAATCAGAATACAACCATTGATTTTAAATGGTGATTGTGTTTTAAAAGCAGTGATAAACATAGAGTGTATTTTAGGAATTTAGTTTGGGCACTCAGGAATTTATTAAGGTAACAAATATATAATCTTTAAATTTTGCAGGATTATTTATTTATAAAACCTACATTGATGAATATAAGAGTTTCTATAGCAATTGTTTATCAGTTTTCTCCTGTTCTTTTCCTTCTTTTTAAGATATAGAGTGATTCCACTAGACTTTGAAAATTATGTGTCTTATGACCCTGAACTTCCCTTTATCCCTTTTTAAAACGCAGTTTCCTATTGAGAATATGAATTAAAATTTATTTATTTATTTATTAATATTCTCATTCGTAATATTATTTTATTTAATTCAGACTGATCAAACACCTGCATTGCAAAAAAGCAACAATACAATTTAAAACTCTGAATTATTCTATTTTTCTTCTTCAGTTATTAAGAAAAAAAATGAAAATTTTCTGTATATTTAAAGTTTTGTTATAATTTTTCCTACACATATCTGCTGATGATGTGCGTTTTTTTTTTTTTTTTCCTTGCAAGAAAATTATACATCCCGTATGTTTTTTGGTTTATAAGCCAAATCACTGAATATGGTATATAATTTTCCCCATTTCTTTTATGAAAGCAGAGATTTTGGTACCTTCACCTTTATATGATATCTGCTTAGAAAATTTATCTTGGACATTTGTTTTTCCCAAATTATTTAGAAACTTTAAAAAAAATATCTATTTAAATTTTTTAAGTAATATTAACATCCTGCAGAGAAATAAAAAAATACAGGGCTGATTGTGCTCCGGAAAAAATCTGGATTTTTCGCTAACAGTGATCCGGAAGTTTTCGGACATCGAAGATCCTGACATTTCAAATAATTATTGATCACAGAAATTTCCGGAAAATAAATTTTCAAAGGTAGAACTTAAAAACACAGTTTATTTTATTTGTTTGTAAGGGAGAGCCAGATACTTCATAAGCTTATATTCATGATTAATATTCATTTTTTATCAGTAAATAGTTATTATAATCATAAACTCAAGAAAGAAAGACATATTTGTAAATTTTAATTACTTCTCCAGGTCATCATAAGTATGTGTAAATGGTATAGGTGTATGCAAAATTTTAAATATTTTAAGCAAACTAAGAAATATTGAGAAAAAGGGGAAAAAAACCTTGTTTAAATTTTTTTCAATTTAAACTGTTTTTTTGTTTTTTTCTAACGCAGGAATTTTGACTTGGGCTCACAATCACCCCTGAAAATATGAATCATTCCTAAAGACCAATAAATTTTTAATTTTTTTATACTAGAAAAACATATGAAATACGTTTAATTGCAAAATTCATAGCATGTTTTTGGCAAACTTTTTGAAAAAATTACTGTCAACAAGTTTGTTAATGAGATATATTTTTATTTAATATATTAATAAAAATACTTTAAATATTCTAGGTGAAAGTGGGCATGGTCATGGTTAGTGATGGTAAAAGTCGTCCTCAACCAATGAGATTGCAGTTAAGCAACACTATGCTAGTTTTACAAAAGGAAGAAATGGTTCCTGTAGGTTTGCCTCCAGCTTCCACTTCTGGTCCAATCTCACATGATAGTATTGATGCACAAGTACTTTGCATAATTTACCTCATTTTATCTTCATGTTCATGCATGCCATATTATGTACTTATCTATTCAAATCTTTAACAAATAAATTTTCTCTTTTATAAACATTTATTTAATACATTTTGTTAGTGTATTATGGTTCAGGCAGAGTGATTTATAATGGTTGATGCTAAGGATGAGGTAAGCAAAAATCGAGCTAGCCATAAACTATGTCAAAGCTTTCAGCGGAGAGGATTTTTAAAATTATAACATAGGGTAAAGAGAGGTTACCAAGAAGTGTGACCTTCACATTTTGGTTAAAATTGAAACATTTGAAATCATCAGCAGATTTTAAATGTTTTAATTTCATTGTTATTATAGCATTATTGCTGTTATGCTCACAAATATCATTAAAACACAAAATTTATAAATAAAAATTTAAATATTATCTACAGCTTGTTATTTGTTTTTGAACTGCTTACTTATGTTTTCATAATATAGTACATGCATGGGTGCAAGTCTTCCGTCCACGGGACGGATTTCCGTCTTTCAAAAATGTCCGCGGGCAGAAGTAAGACGGAAACAAGACTGACTCGAAGACGGAAATAGGAATTTTTTTCTTCTGTCCTTAAAAATATTTTTTAGGTCTACGTTATTGGTCTACTTTCTTATGTCCTGTTGTTATTTTATCAAAAGACAGATGAATAAATATTTTTTGTACAGTATTTAAACTTAACGTATTATGGTAAAGCTTTCTTAGATAGTTTGCATATGTCGAGGGGGTATTGTGTATGTTAGGTATTTCAGTCAAAAAATTTTCAGTCTTGGCCTTTTTTCCAACTTGCACCCATGAGTACATGTGACAAGGGAGAAAGGTATAACGTGACAAACTTAGAAGGGGTCAAAAATATTGAAAAAAAAGTCTGACATCATTTATAGATAGCCTCAGTGATTAACTTAAAGAATGTATTTAACTCAGCATTAAATATTAATTAGCAATATGTAACATGTATTGCAGAACCATAATTTTAGATTATTTATTTTGAAAAGTTTGAGTTCTTTTGGGATTATGACTCTTTCTTATAAGTTGTGACAAAATTATTGCAGTTAAAAAAAAAAAAAAATTATCACTAACTAAGTGTCCTCTTGTTAATGAAATAATATTATTTGACTTTTAACATTGAGCATAGTATAGTTATTACTCAAAGAATGCATATTAAAATAAGGTTTTTAAAAAAATTTGTAGACATGAAGCAATTTCTTTGCCACTTAAATATGTCTGGGATAGGGATAACATAAAAATGGATTTCTCACTTCTGAAGCATGTAGCTGAGGTTCAAACTCTGTTCATGGATGTTTCATTCATATATTGCTTAATTTGTCCACAATTTTGTCTTAAAAAAATCTCTATGGTAAAATTTTATATAAGGGTTTTGTTACTTAGTTATGGACGAAATTTTGTCTCCTTGTACCAATTAATCTCTCTTCTTCTCCTTCTCAAGAAATTTTTTCTATGCTACTTCACGAAAGTGTTCTCCAGATATTTTACTGCACTCATAGTTGATATTTTTATAGGCTAGCTTATTAAATCAAATTCAGTCAGCCTTTTCTTTAAGTATCTGTTGTTCTTGTTTTATTTTTATTAACAAGAGAAAAACTTTATTAGAACACAAGATTTGATTCTTTTCTGCCACCAAGATTAAGAAAGCTGTTTAGAAAAAGTTAATAAATTTTTTTTTTACTGTTTCTGGATTGGAAGTCAAATATTGTTATGAAAAAAGTATCCTTCATAAAAATATCGCAACATTTTACTGCTAAAACATGTTGAAACATTTTTTAGGATAAATTTGTTGCTATGTGACATTAGTAATGTTCTTTAGAGCTGACATTCAAGAAAATGAGCAGAGTAATCTTTTTCCCCTCTGATGAAACTCCAATGGAGTTGCAAGATCAAAACAAAAAGGTTAACATTTCTTGCACTTTAGTATCTTCTACAACCAGCCCTGTGTTATGGAAATATTTGCTTAATTTGGTTTCATTGTTATATTTAGGATTTCTTAGAGATATAATTTTATAAGTTACTGTTGTTTTGTTGCAGGAACGAATTGTTAAGGTCATAAGACAAGAAGTTGGAGGCTTAGGTTTGAGCATTAAGGTAAAGTATATGTATCAAATTGAAGTTCTTGTTAATTTTTTTTTTCTGAATTTTCTTGTAAAAAAATAATTCAGTTTTCAGATACATTATTCATGAAACTTTGTTCTGCTTGGTCAGTGAGAAAAATGAAAAAATTATTGACAATTTAATATAAAATTCTATAAATTTTTAAAGAAAGGAATATGAAATGGAGTTCAAATTTTTAAGTTAAAGGAAAAGATTATAAATATATATATGTTTGTTGTTAGATCTATTTGATTTTAATTTGTTTTATTAGTAATTAATGTGTGATTTTAATATTGTATTTGTTAATAATGTTTCTGTGCTGATTGATATGAATTAATTATGTTATGATTACTGAATGTCCTAACCATTTCATTTATTTATTTTTCACTATTAGAAAAATATGCATGTGTATATTATTACAGAATATATATAATTCTGCTTGCAGTTTTAAAAATTATATGTACATGTTAGTGGGATTCAAATTATTTGAGAATAAGTATGCTTAATTTTTTTTATTGCAATTTTTTTTAAAAATTAATATAAAAATGTAAGAAAAACATTAATTAATGAATTAAATTTCATGAATTATTTTTAAAAATTTGTAACACTTAACTGCTTTATTTTTGAAAACTATTCCCTGAGTCTTAATCAAAACCATCATCCAATGGCTATCTAATTCTTTATTCTCAGAAACATCTATTTTTTGTTTGACAGGTGGGCCTGTAACTGACTTAGTAGGAATCAACCTTTGTTAAACTGTGTTTGAATACTGACAATATGCAGCCCCAACAGGAAGTAGTTCTACTTGGGGAAATGTGTTTAAATACCCCTGTGTCATACTATCTTCCCCTACATTTGGTTAAGTCATGTCCCATGATTTATCTGGTTGTTAATTTGCTATCTTATTGAAGCACTTTTTAAATACTTCTTTTAAATGCATTGGTTCATCATCATTCATTGCCATAAAAACCTTTTAATATAAAAAGCAAATTAAACATCAATTCTAAAATATATGTATAATTTTTATAATCATTAACTAAATATTTCAAGAATTGTGTTTATTATTGAGGCTCTTATACCATTATAGGAGCAATATGTATGATTTTATTTACAGGGTGCGACGAAGAAACTCGGACTAAGTTGTATAATAGAATAGAAGTCAACTTATTACTTTTTAATTAGCGTATTCATTTCTTTTTGTGTACTGCTTTATTTATAAAATATTTATTTTTTATTAATATATTTTTTTATGTGGTTTTTTTCCTCCGGGGATTCCTTTGTGTTCTAAATTGGTTCAAAATTACAAGGCTATGGAGTTGAACATTAGTAGTCGTAAACCCAAAAAATTGGGTCGGCTGTTCAACGACGGTTATAAAAATATAAAGCAAAAGATATTCTATCTTAGAGTTGTTTAAGCAAGAAAAATGACCGTGTGAAATTATTGGTTTCATCTGTGCAGAATTGTTTTACACTAAAGTTTGAACTCTCTAAAGCGATCATTTTGTTGGGAATGGGATAGATTACAGGTCGAAGATTTGCGGCTTAATGCTGAAATTTTTAATTAATTTTTTAATGAAGTCATATTAAAAATTGCTTGCTCGACCTTTTTTTTGCCATATCCTGTACAGTTACTTTATAGTATGTGATCATATGTCCACAATGTATTTTGCATTTCCTCTTTTGAAAATGTTGTTATTTCCTTTTTTCACTTAGGGTGGAGCAGAAAATAAACTACCAATTTTGATATCAAGAATATTTAAGGATCAAGCTGGTGAGTTATAAAAACAAAAGATTTTTGAACTTGTTTGTAGCTGCAGAAACTACATTTCTTGCAAGTTTCGAATTAAGCAGAAAAATATGTTCATGAAAAACAATTTTATTATCTAAATAACATTTAGTATTTATGTATATGACTCTTTAAACTTTATTTTAGCTGACCAGACTGGTGATCTCTTTGTTGGGGATGCTATTCTTAAAGTAAGTCATATATTGTTAGCCAAATCTTTTAAATAAAAAATCTTGAATATTTTGTTAATTAACATGATATATGATGTATATCAATTCAATAACTAGTAAATGTCCCCTAATTCAAACAAGATTTGTAGCATAATGGTGAGAGTTAAGTAAATTCTTAGTGCTTTATACTATAACTATAAATTTTAATGTTTTTTACTCTTTAAATTATTTTTACGTTTTAGCAGTTTACCCACTTTTATCAATGCTTAAAAATGCCTTCATATGTTATTTAGAGAGGTATGAAGTAAACTTAGTTTCCTTAAAATATTTCTCTTACTATTAAAAACAATCCCTTTACATTTTCCAAAACTGCCCATTTGATATTCTGACATATCTGATTTGATATAAAGACATGAAAAATACCTAATTTTAACTTTATTTTAGTAATGAAACTGTTCAGTAATAACTAGTTTTTCATTTCTGATCGGGGCTAATCTTAAGTGAGACCATCAGTGGATGCAATAAAAATGTTTTTTTTGTTAAGCTTTAAGCACTTTACGAAATCACAAATATTTAATAATAATCTATCATTTCTTGAAATGAATATTCATTGTCACAGTCATTAAAAGTTGAAGGGTGAAGGGAAAAATTATAAAAAATAAATTCTCTCTTTTTATTCTAAACATTTTTTTCACAAATTTTTTCTTTTGGTATTCAACTTAATTTCTTTTTTTTTTTTAATTTTGAAAATGAGTACGAACAGAATCTTCCAATGAAATTTTTTTCGCCTAAAAAGGGTTAAGTAGTGACTATATTTTGAAAGTAGTTTTTAATCAATAAATTTTTTAAAAAAATAATAGCTGTAATTTTCCACAAAAGAATAGTAGTTTTTCTGATCACTGATTTCTTTTCATTAAAAACTTTTGTAGGTGAATGATATAAGTCTTGAGCATGTCAATCATGATGATGCTGTGAATGTTTTAAGAACTGCTGGAGATGAAGTGACATTACGGGTGAAACATTATAAACCAGCTCTTCCTTTCTTAGCGAAAACTTGTAAGTTATCTTTCGAATTTAAAAACTTATTTTAGCAACATGCTATTGTAACTTAAAATTGATTTCTAGCTTTTATTATATTTAAAAGCTACTGTTAATTTTAGAGCTTCAGTTTTACTTCGTATAATCTTGATTTTAAAATATTTTGTAATTAGGCAATGAATTTAAAGTTAGAAAATTTTAAAAACCGTTTTTCATGGACTGACTGAATCCCATTACTTATTCTTTCGTAAATTTAGTAATACTAGTGGGCTGCGACCCCTGCTCGCTAACGCTCGCCAATCCCCGAAAATTGCTATGCAATCTTATATGGTTTGCTTCGCAAACCAAGCTCGCTTCGCTTTGCTACTAACTTAGGTACATTGCAATTGCACAAAATTCTAAAAATTCAAAATAATCATTCAAATTCATGTAAAAACTTTTTTTTAAAAAAATTACATCTTTTTAGTAAATACTAAGTCATTAAAATAAATTTGAATTTAAATAAGTGACATGTAATTCGTTAAACCTGTTAGAAATGTGCTATAGTATAATTCGTAATATAAATAAAAAATCATCAAATAAATTCGTAATACATAAATTCGTGAAAAAAAGCGCTTTCGACATAATACTAGATCTATCAACAAAGACTACTCACTTCTGCCTTAGCTTAATAGTATGAGTTTGCCGCAGCTGATGCTCTCTGGTTATTTCAGTTTCCGTTTTTAAAAGCGCTATATGTTGAGCCACCTCAGCTAGATTTGGCATGTGACAATTTTAGCGGCAATCATTTGTTGATTCGCCGTGTAAGAGAAATGGTAACATAAACAAAGCAAAGTGAACATTGCCACCGGCGGAAAAGAAATACAGCCGAAATTTGGGAGCCACATAAGAGAATTATATATATTAGATTAATCTCTATTAAGTATACATTCTTTGAAGCATAAGTTTAAAAATATATTTGTTTTCTTTTTTTTTTCAATTTTTTCAGTGCAAAAACCTAAGGAGAGGCCTGTTTCAGGAGAAGATCCAACGTATAAATTAAAGGATGATGATGATGATTGGAAAGTGGTAGGATAAATTCTGATGAGTTCAATTTTCACACTTATTCATCATTGAAATGTTTTGTTTTTTTTAAAATTTATTTCCTTATAAGCCTAGTAGTAGGGCTTGTTGATTTAATTCGCTAAATTTAAATGAACTTATTTTGTTTTAAAAAATCATTGAGTGAATTCAAATAACTTTTTTTTAAGAACTTATTGATTCATAAACTTTCCAATTGATTTACTACAAGATAATTTAATTTTTTTAAATTTCATTGTAAGTATACGATTGCGTTATTAAGTTTCAATTATCAAAATTACATTAGTAACTTTCTGTGAATTGAGTCACGGCACTTTTAAACTAACATGTTAAAAATCATATGATTCTCGATGGTTTATCAGAATTTAAGCTAAGAACAATGGGAACATTTATTGAAGTTATTGAATCTGGATTTTTTTAAGTTTAACAACAAATTATTAGGAAAATTAAATTTTGCCTTTTTTAGCCTATTATTTAGATATAAATAATGATACATTTCTATTCATTTTTTAAAAAGATTGAATCATACATTCTCAAGCATTAAATAATTTTTAATGCAGTATTATGTTTTGAAATGCATTGTTATGATTTATTTTTAATAATATTTTAATTATATTTATAATATTTAGTTAATTATAAACTGAAGTTCTTAAAGTATCTTCCAAAGAAATAAAAAAATTTGATCTAATTTTTAAAAATCCAATTTGAATTAAATTTTTTTATTTGTTTTAAAAAATTAATTTGCTTTAAAGTCATCTATTCAACCCCCTTTTTTATTTTCATTTTCAGTTGCAATGACTTATATTTTACTGTTGATGGGTTAAAATTATATCTTCAAAAAATGTTGTTTTTAAGGGCCAGAAAAGTCCAAAAACACCTCAAGGGGCTTCCAGAATGGAAAGAAGATGGGTTGATGTTATGACTATCAACTTATTAATGGCTTATTTAACCCGATATATGCTGGATACTGATAAGCTAAGGTAATTTGATTTTAGTGTTCAATTTTAAGAACTTTTCTTTTACAAATTATGTAATAAATTTTCAGTACATAAATTCTGTCTTTTTTCACTGTAAAAAGGCATTTATTATTTTTTTCTGTCATTCTCTTATTAAATTTAAAAAAAAAGTCACAACCTCATTTTTACTTATATTATAAGGTTTAATTTGGGAAATATTTTTACAATTATTTTCATTTGACAATATCAAATTAATGGTTTTTTGCTTTCTAAATCTATATTATTTAATTATTATTATTTTTATGATTCTAAAATTTAGGTTATCAAACTATACAATAAATAAATTTAATAATATAAGCCTTTAAGAGAGCAAAAAAATATATAAATTTTCTCAAAAGCTGGAATATCGATTTAAATTCTTATCTGTGCTAAGAAATAAGTTAATTAATTTAGGTGTTATACATTTATAATAATTGGAAAAAACAAGCAAATTACTATTTAGGTCAAGCACTTTGATTGACACATTTAACTTTATTCAAGGAACTCTTTCAATTTTCGTGCCAAATGGCAGAAATCTTCCCATTGGATTCTTTTGGTTTTACGGTTTCTGTTGTGTTGAATATTATTGACTGAGATAGGATCTGCCAATTTTGTTCTGCAAATTTGGCATTCTGATTCTTTATTCAAATTTGTAATATTTTTGAAGAAAAAAACTTAATTTATGAGGTGATGCATTGTATTTCTTGCCCGACAATCGCAGATGTAGTTGAAGAGGTTTGGGGGAGAAAAAACTCACCTTATGAACTTTTTTTTTCATTGCCCAATATGTACTTAATAATGTGTTTTGCGAGATTTGTTAAGAAAAACTAATCCATTGATCAGGAGGGGATTTTGAGTTAAAAAATAACTAGTCATCCTGTGTGTAAGATGTATAATGTTTTATTTTCATTTTCTTTGATAATCTATCTTCATTAATTTTGTGATCTTTTGTAGCATTTTCCTAAGAATTAATGAAATAAATTAAATTCAAAAGTGTGTAACTACTTAATATTTGTGCTTCTAGAAATAAAGTGTAACATATGATCTTTTAAATAGATATGACTAAATTTAAAGAAAGTATTTTGCCATTTTTGTGTTTAGTCAATCACGCATTTGCTCTCTCTCTCTCTCCTAACACATGGCATAGATTGAAATTAAACTGGAAAAAGAATATTTTTCCTTTTTCTAAACAAATGGCTTTACATCTTATATGTAAGGCAATTTATATATTGTTGAAATTACTTTATATCCTACTTTTAAAATAAATTTTTCATTTGTTAAATAAAAGATAGTGTTTAATTTAACAAAATGTGTGTTGCAATCACATGTATGCTTTCTCTCTCCTACCCTATGGCTCAGATAGGAATTAAATTAGAAAAAAAAATTCCAATTTATTTCTTATTGATATTACTTTCCATCCTACTTTTAAACTCACTCATCAACTCTCCCCTTTGTTAAATCAAAGTTTCAGAATCTACAAACTCGAATCAGCATTGATTGAAAGATTGATTTAAATGAGAGAAGCAGATCCATGAATCATTCATTAATCATACATTTCAAAATGCAAAATAAATGTTATTAATTATATAGATTGTTTAACTGAATGTGAGTACTATACTTCAAATAATTTGTAAATACCAGAACATTTTTTTCTTTAAATGCATAAAATATTTTAATCATCTTACAAATGCTTAATTCATGATGTATTGGCATAATTAATTTATGTATTTTCAGACCCAATGCCTTTGAAATTCGAAGTCAGGAGGGAAAACCATCTGCAGTTGTTCATTGTGATGATGCAAATATGTTATCAGAGTGGATAAAACATATTTCAACCAATATACTTCAATTAACCGCACAACAAGTATGTTCATAACTATGTTTGATTTTTTTAAATAAGAATTCTGAGTTACTTACTAACTGTAAAATATTAATGAGCAAATAGTTTGGAATGCATTGATAGTTCTGTAAAGTTTGAATTCTCACAGTTCATTTGCATTTTTTTTCTAAGATTTTTTGTAGGGGTGTTATTTTTTTCTGATTACAGTAAGCCTCGATTATCTGAGCTAATTGGGACCGGTAGTACCTCGGATATCGGAAATCTCGGTTAATAGAAACCATGTATAATAACCCTCCGTGTTTGCGAATTTAGCTACTTTTAAAGTAAAAAGCTATAGAACGTTTTTTAAATGATAAAAATAAACATAGATGAACTTATGTTTCACAGCTGAAAAGATTTAAAAAGGAAATCAACTCTCGTAGTAAATTTTAAAAAGTAAAATGGAATTTTTTTAACTATACTTAGTTAAATATCGAAAGACGCATTTTCAAAAATAACACAAATCTCAAGAAAATATTGTATTTTTAAAATTTACATGATTAAACTTACAGGTCACATGACCACTGTTAGCAAAGCATTCATAGATGTTGTCTTCTCAGGGTGTAATATTTCTTTAAAGTTCAGTGCTTTTGTGGGGAAGAAGTGCCTGTAACACGGACAACGAACTGAAATATGTATCATTTTTTCCAAGCTCATTTTGGAAAGGAGAAAAAAAAATTAAGACTTCACTATTGCTTCGGTTAACAGAAACCTCGGTTAATCGAGGTTCTACTGTATATATTTTACTCCTTAATGTCATGGAAATTGAAAAAGTTATTTGCAAGTAGAGGGATAAACATAATTTAAAAATGCAAAAAACAATAATCAATTTTATCATTATATTAGTTTTATTAAATTGTTGCATTAGTTCGATTAAACAGTGCTTGATTTTTTTAGCATATTATTTTTTATTGAGTAATTTATAATTCTATCATTATTGCTTAGATTGAAATAGTTTTTGCTCAATGAAAAAATATACATAGTATGTGTAATTCAAAGATGCTAGAGTATAAACATTATTTTTGTCACTATACATTTTTAATGAAACAAATAGTTCAGTTTAAAAGTTTTTGATCTTAAGCTTATTGGTGGGTTTTTTGCTAATTGTATTCAAAATGCTATGCATTATAAATGCTTAAGTGTTGAAATTATCATTGTCAAATAACTTATTATTAATTTAATTATGCATGTAAGTATATATTTTTAACTGTCTGACTTTTGCAAAAATACCCATAAATGTCAAATTATAATGTGTGTTAGTCCATTTAAAAAAAAAAAAGGTAAGGAGTGAGCAAGAAAATGACTATGAGCAGGAAAATATCTTTGTGCGGATGAGAACTTCCCTACACACTAATTTCAAAATTAACTTTTCAAAGGTTTTTTTTTATGAAAGTTTAGAGGTAGATATTCTAATTCTTTAATGAACAATTTCTTTTAAATCAGTTTTAGATTTAATGTATTAAATCAACTTTCATTTTAATTAAAAATTCGTTGTGTGTTGTATTAGATGATTAATTAATAGTAACTTATACTATATTTGCTTTGGTCTCTAAATATTTTCTGTTATTTTATATGTTTCAAGATAGTAGGAAAAAAATAGTTTACATGCATCTATACAATTTTCTATTTTGAATTTGTGTCAGTATTATTGTTTTATACTTTAACACTGAAATTGGAACTTTTTTTTTCTAGATTAAAACTTTTAATGAATCATTCCCTCAACCTGATCAGGTAATGTGATATTTTATACGCATATTCGTATATTTTTGAAATTATGATTATCACTTTGTAATATTAACCTTGATACAAATTTATAAACGCTTAACTTTTATTTTGTTTTCAAGATTTCATATATGGGTTGGGTTACTGAAGGAACTCCTGCCCCTCAGCCTTGGTACAAATGGCAACCTCGCTTCCTAGCTCTTAAAGGAGCAGAATTGTTTTTATTTGAATCTCCCCCTGTAAGTACTCTTAACTTTTGTAAAAACTATTATCTTTTTATATTTTGATTAGCGGTTATTATATTGCTGTAAACTTTGTCTAAGGTGAACAAATTATTATAAAGAATTATAATTTTTCTTATTATTTTAAAGTATTTATTTATTAATTTAAAATATGGTGTAATAATTCTTTTACTCTCTGAATCTTGAAAGAATTATTATTTTTATTAATTTAAAGTATGGCATATTAAGACTCTATTTTGCCATAATAGTTTAAGTAATGCATTGTCTGTAAGTTTTAAGTAAAATAAAGTTTAATTGTTGAGTTTTTCTGCACTTTTGCATCAGATGAGAAATATTTTATGAAGTCGAAAATTTTTGGTAGTATTTGACTTTATTTTTTAAAAAAATATATAAATTTTAATTATGTTTCAGTGCTATAACTTAAGTATTACAAACTTATAATTTTTTTTCAGTATTTAGGAAGTATTTATATTCTTTGTTATATTTCCTGTTTCTTGCTTATATTCCCTGTTATATTTCCTGTTTCTTGCTTATATTTCCTGTTATATTTTGTACCTTGTATATTTATTTTGTTTGACACTCTGCTTTATTTCAGAGTAGTGTACAGTCCTTGTCGAGTTGTCCAAATGTGTTCAAAGTTTATCAAGCTATGTTAAAAATTTTAAAAGTAAGGCACATACAGATTTTTTAAATTAATTGATAATCAAGAGAAATACTAAACTGAATTTTTAGCATTATGTTAGTTAACCGATAACATAGCGTTAAGTCTGTAGAGTTGATCAGTAATTACTGAATTATTTGTTTGGTAATAAATAAATTAGAAGTGTAGTAATCATAATCTTTAATTTCAATATATTGTCTTGTATAAGTTCTATCATTAAAACACTTAAACTAAAACAACCATTCCATTTATGACAAAGTTTAAATTAATTCCAAGAAAATAATCTGTTTGTTTTTATTTATAAACACCTTTGTTAACATCAAACAGAGATTTCATCAACTTCATATAAGTTTCAAAAAAATATCTGTAAAAGCTTTTTTGTAAGTATGCATTATAAGATTTAATGTGATTCAATATACTTTTGAATTCTAACATATTTAAAAATATAGTCAAAAACCATTTTTGACTTCAACTTTATTTTTAAGAAAAATTTGACAATGTTAGGGTTTTTAAAGTATTATTAATATGACTTATTCAAATACTTTTAACATCCTTTTTTGTGCTACCTTAAGTAAAATTTTAACAAACGTTATCTATTAAGGTTTATATATACTGTGGTTGGATTAATTCAAGCTTCATTTTACTTATTCATCAATTTAATGTATTACTTCACTGTAACTTACTCCTTAACAATTATGCTTGATATTTTAAATTTTATATCATATATTTTAAATTTTATAATTATATAAAATTTTTAAAAAGTAGGAATTTGATTTTTAGAGGGTTAGTACGAAATACTATTTGAAATAATTGCAGAATTTTATGTACTATTACTGTTAAATTTATCTGCCAAACTTTGCTCTGCTATTAAAATTACATTTTTATTTTGTTATTATTAAAATTTCATTTTTATTTTGTGGAGAAATTTCCCTTTGCCTTTTTCTTTATTGGTTTACAAATTTTACTTAATTTATAAATATTACTCAACAAATGCAATTCTTGTATTTTCATCAAAATAGACATTATATTTTTATTTCTAGTTTTAAAAATATATGCATTAGTTAACCTTTTAGCTTTAATGTTAAAATTCATAACAGTTTACTCAGAAAATAATATTTCAGAAATTTATTTTGTTTATAAAGTTTCACTTCCTTAAATAATAAATGGCATTGATCTGCTTAGCATCCTTCCAATTTTATCAATGGCCTAATTATTGTATTGAAGTCTTCATATAATATGAAATTTTCTTATTTTGCAGGATACTGAATACATAGATGAGCGTCAAAATTGTTTCATGCTCCACACGGGTGCATCAGATACTCATTACATGTGCTCAGAAACTAAATCAGAATTATTAAGGATAGAAAATGGATGGCATAGAGCTACTTACAATGCAGTCACTAGATTAGGAGTAAATTATTTACTTTATCTCTCTTCCTGTATTCAGTTCATCATGTCTGTATCTCCTTTTTCATATAGGAATTTGTGTGAACATTGATATTTAATTTTACAGTGATTCCTGATTCAGGTTTGAGAAAATGTTGTCTTCCCACTTTTTTTAAAATTTGTTTAGTTTTTATTTTTCAGTTATTAATTTTATCAATCATTTATTGTTTTAATAATTGTTGTCTTTACTGGGACAAATATTTTTTAAATATTTACCTTCATATTCAATTTTGGTATTTCAGAAAAAACAAACAATTTAAAAATAAAAAAAATTTCTATAATGTCCTCCAAGCAAAAATAAAAACTTCAATACTAAGTTGATATGTTATGAAATTAAGAAATAATGCAAATAGTCAATCCGAAATTGAATTTTTTTTTTTTACGTATTTTGACATTTTCATGTTATAAAACAAATTTTGTAAATACTTTAATAGATTAACAAATAAATTGTTTTTATTAATTTAAAATGAAGGCATTACTCCATGAGCTCCATTCACAACTTGTTCAGAAGTATGTTTATGGCACAAAATACTACAACATTTATGCCAACAATAAGATATTTCTCTATGTCTTGTTGTTATACTGTTGAAATTCGAGAATCTACCAAAATAAATGTCTGAAAACAATACTAAAAACCTGTTTGATATTAAAATGTCAGTTTTGAAAAACAAAAGTAGCTTATTTTTATGGGCTGCAGGTTTAAAGGCATCTTTATACTTTGTAAACAATCTGTTTAAATAGAACTGTATTTATTCACTCTTGAAGAATCATGGCACTGAGGAGATTTCTTCATGGAACCTTGTGACTCTGTGGAAGAGTTAAAGAGGTTCCGAGACTTAGAAGTTCTTTTTTTACCAGTTATAGTTTTAAAATGTTTAATTTTATTTAAATCTAATCAATAATCCACTATCTATTTAATATTTATTGTCTTTATGAAATTAATAAAAGTGGAAGCCAATGAACAAGAAATGGAGAATTTTTTTTCAATAAATAATTTCCATTGTAACAATATATTGAAATAAATATGAAAAAGACATTCATTTATAAAAAATTGCATGAATATTTCTTATTCAATTTTTCTAATCAAAATTGAATAACTGAATTTACAAATAGCAAGATGTGTTTTCCTAATAACTAACCATTTTCTTCCTTTTTAATTTTCGTTTCATAGGAAGCCTTAATTGTGCTTATTTTATTCATTTCCAGCTTTTATATATGCATTGGAGACAAATCCATTACAAAACTAGCTAAAATTCCAGGACTGCAAATTTAACTGTGGGTCCTAAAATCTAACTTAAGATATTTAAAGATAAAATGCTGAAAACAAAATCCAATCCTCTAATTAAATGTTTTTAAAATAAAATAATATTTCATTGGTTTATATATTTGCAATTATCTTCATATAATTTATTTATTTGGTTATTAAATCATTTTAGGTTCCTAATCATTTTAAGTTCCATAGCCGGAAAAAATTGGGAACCGCTGTTTTAAAGAATGTAGATTTTATTTATGACATTTTTGTGCCGTTTTAAAATTGCACAATTTCATTTCAAGCTCTAAAAATTCTTTTTTTTTAAAAAAGAAAACTTCATTCATATTAATATAATGTTCAAGATTGTTTCATTTTTGTATTTCATGTAAAAAAAAATAATGGTGCATTCTATTCTCTCTATAGTTTCTGACCTTGTATAAAAATGTGTTAATCCAAATTTATGCTAAACAACATGATGCTCAATTAAATTTATTTAAAAATTTTATCTTCAAGTTGCATTGTGATCTTGAATTTTCTTATTACTTTCGTAGGATTTAATATTAACACGTATTTTGCTTCAGTGAACCTTAGTGGCATTATTTCATATTAACCCCTCCCCTCTAAATCTGAAATTTACTTTGATATTCTAACAAACAACTGACCACCTGACCGGAACATCTGCTCCTGCACCCCAGAGCCCAAGGTCAAGAAAACTGAGATGGGCACAGTAGGCCTTGGCCCGCAAGGGCTGTCGCAATGCTGAGTTTAGTTTATTCTAACGAACAACTTTGGTTTTTTTTGGCAAAAATCTGATGGAAACCTCAGTTTTATTTAACTCTAAAATTTTTTAATTTCCATCTATTGATGTTGCTGTACTATGAAATGAGTAAAAGTTCTTGTATATCTTGTAACATTAAGCATAAGTAAAGTTTTTTTTTCTGATGGATATTAAAATTCATTATAATTGTTCTTTGTTCATAGGAAATTTACTTTCATTATTCACGGATTTTACTTTTTTTATTTTCAGAGTAAAACATTTTCTGTTGTATATAAGGGAAAAACTGGAGGTTTAACTCTAGATTGGAATATGGGATTTGCTCTCTATGATACTGAGGCAAAGGTAAATTTCTTTTTGCTATGTGTGGAATTAATTTTTGAATACAGTAGAGCACCGATTATCTGAACCCTTATTATCCGAACGTCCAATTATCCGAACTATGTCCGCTTTTTTTTATATTTATTTTAAGTTTAGAATATTTTAACTTAGCAACAATTTTTTTTAATTTAGAAGAATAAATAATACCCACTACATCTGAGGACCATACTTAATTTACAACATTTTTAGCAGTTTTCTGATAGTAGCCATACATACATGTATTTTTATACAGTTAAACCTACATACCCCTTTAGCCCTCTTCAACTGAAAATTATCTTCCAAAAATGCGAGCTTGATTTTGACCGTCTAAAATTTTTGGATTGCGGAAGGAGTTTATGAATAGATAAGTGCTGAAGTTCTACAATTGAGAGATAGGTAGTCGTCACTTATGGTTAATGATTAGTGATTACAGTGCTTGGAATCTTAAATCTTGGAATAAAATTCTTAACAGAAAAACAAACGAAACTGAAGTTTCTGAACCAGTAGATCTTCCGGCTGAAAAGATGCCAGGTTATACTGCAGAAGAAATAGAAGACTGGTGTCGAGACACTGAAAACGACACAGGATTTCAAATTTTAAATGATGATGAAATTGTTGCTAAAATTTTGAATGAAAATCCACAGGCAAAGAGGAAGAAGTAGGTGATCAAGTTCAAGATAGTGGACCTTCTCATATAGAAGTATGCAATTCATTAGATATTGCAATGAATTGGCTAGAACGTCAAAATGATCCTGATCCGGTTCAGTTGATTTATTTGAAAGGAATAGGGGATATATGGCTGCTAAAAAAAGAGCATCTTCTTTGAAACAAAAGTCTTTGCTGGATTTCTTNAGGGAAAAACTGGAGGTTTAACTCTAGATTGGAATATGGGATTTGCTCTCTATGATACTGAGGCAAAGGTAAATTTCTTTTTGCCATGTGTCTAATTAATTTTTGAACATTTTATAAAAATTTGAATATTTTATAAAAATATATATTGATTTTATACTTTTGATAAAATTGGGGTGGAATAATAGTTTATTTTGTAGACTGTAATTAAAATTTAATTTATAAAATACATAAATATATATAAATTAATACATAAATTAGAAATTTATAAATTTCATGCTTCATGATTAAAATTAATGAAATCTGTAATTAAGTAATTCTATAAATGCAATTGTATTGTAATCAATGTTTTTCTTTTTAATTTATCGTGAAGCTAATGAATTGTTTTTAAGTATGTGAGATAATTTTAAAATTATTGTTGAATGTTGTCATTTGACAAAGAAATTTACTAAACCTACTAAGGTTCTAAGTTATCCACGTTGCTAGAAGCTTCACAAAAAGAGAGTATTAAAATGGCCCACCCTGGCACTAGTGTTATCTAAAAAAAATTTTTTAGATTTCCCTTATCTTAATTTTTGAAGAGTGAAGTTTAAAAATACAGGAGTATGTTTCAATTAAATTATGCTTGTAAATTTCTGAATTTTTTTTAACAAAGATTACATTATAAATGAATACTTGAATGAATTACTTGAATTTTTACTTAAATATTTAATCAAATAATATTGTTTTTAATTATTAGCTCTATTTTTTGGTAAATCAAACCAAGGTTTCTAAAACACACAAAATTTATTAGTAAGATAAATGAAATTTAAATTTGTGTGAACTTTCTTTTTTATTTACACAATTTTTTGGCTTGCTCTAAATATATGCCTTTATGACTGGGTTGTTTACAAAACAATCTGGAAACGAAGCTATTTTTCAGATGTTATTTATTTTGGTTGCAAAACCTCCTTTATAAGCAATTTCCACTTGATAGATGGTTTTAGTTAATATCGACCATATTACCTGTTTTTTAAAATGAGTAGGCTTTAAACCTCACTGAGAAGCTGGTGATTGCCAGACAGTAGCTATTAGCGGTGCTAGACCAATTGCAGTTTCCTGAATTCAGGATCCATGCAGATGTCTGGACACATACTCAGGAAGAGATGTCATTATCATCCTTTCTACTCTCACTAATCTGATTGAATTTTATAGGAATTGTCTTTTTCAATAACACGTAAAAAAAAAAACTTACAATTTTAACTAAAACTTTACAAGAAGTTTCTCTTCCTGGTAAAATTTTTGAGGTGTGAAGCTTAAATCCAGTGCATGTCTAGATTTTGTATTGGTAAATTATGCCTGGCATCATGTATTCTTTTTTTTCTTTCTTTTTTTTGCCAAGTGTAACTGGAAAATGCTTACATTTTTTAGCGTTCTATTTTAATGTTGAATTGTTAACTTTATATCAAGTATTTTGCATCTAAACTTTTCAATATTTACCTATTTACTAAAAATTACGTAATTTGCTTTGTATTTACTTAATCCCATTCAGTTTTTCTGAGACTCTAATCAAATTTGAACTCTTAAGTTGTTAAATCAAACTAATTGTTAACTTAAAAATTTTCTTTTTTGAAGTTTTTGATTTTATATTTTCAGTGTTATGCATGGCGATATAAATTTTCCCAACTGAAGGGTTCATCAGATGATGGAAAAAGTAAATTGACTCTAAACTTCCAGGATCCTGAAAAAAAGGAAGTAGAATCAGAGGTATTTACCAGCTTTTATTTTTCTGTACTATACATTAAAAAAACATTGAGTTTAATTATTTACATATTCAACAAGCTATGCATTTTCTAGCTCCTGTATTATTTACCATTTAATCACCGTTACTACTTCATAAACTACTGGTTTGAATAAATAACCATGCTATTCCCATTTTTATTAGACTTTTAGTCTTGACTAAGGCCATGGATTGGCACCTCTTTCAAAATTTTATTTTTAAGTGATTAGTTGTAGTGTGTCAATTAATGGGTTATCATCCCTCAATTTTTGTTTGATATTTTACTTCTATAGCCAAATTAGTGTTTATGACTAAGTTAGGTCAAATGATTTTGTGCAAAAGCATTGACTAAAGATCTCAGTACCTGGTGAAAGGCCGAGACCAAAAACGTTAAAAATGAACCAGGGCCTGGTCATCCTTTTGTAACCTTTAGCATTTGAGACAAACATTTATGCAGTCTGGAGCATGTAACCTAAGCACCTAATGGGAGAGGTGTAATAAAAGCAGTGCTTGCATGAGATATTTAAATTCTCTTACTATCAAAAGTTTTAAATACAGAAAAAAAACATTTCAAAAAATTTCACATTAAGAATTAAATTTAGGAAAAGAAAATTTCAAAAAGCTTCTGTAGTTCTAGAGTTTTGAAAACACAAGAAATTTCTTCTGAATATTTTACTCCAAATTATATGAAATGAATTAAAATGTAAATTTTGTTTTGTGTAAAGTTACACCTTTTATTTAAATTTAATCCTAAAATTGGATAACCATAATAAAAGTAAATGTTAATGCAAAAAGAGGGATACTGCGATTTTCTTACATAAACATGAATAGGGTTTGCGATTTGCAAATTTTCTCTGACATTGGGGAGTCTAAAATTACCAAAAATGTGCTTACGTAAGATTTAAACGGTTTCTTTCTTAAAATATGTGTAAGTTCCTACCCCTCTTTCTGGTTTTGTAATTGACAGTTTCTCATATATTTCATTTGCTAGAATGAACACTTTTAGTTTATTTCCAAAAAGAGTGTGCAGGGTTTAAATCCGTTAAGAAACCAAATTTATTTTCTATAAATATTTCCAGGATGTTGATATCTTAAATGTTAACATTGCAGGAGTTAGAATGCCAATTATTGTCAGCTCTTCTATATTGTATGCATGCCTTTTTAACCGCTAAAGTTGCCTCTGTGGATCCAGCCTTTCTGCGTACTACTTGAGCATCAGTGATAAAATCGTTTGTTTTTAAATATCAGCTAGGTGACCTTGCTGCTGCCAGTATAGGGCCCAAGTTTGTTGCCTCATCATAGCATATCTCTAATAGGAATTTCTCATTGCACTCATAAAAACTCTCACAACCATTGGTATATGGTAAGTTCCATTACAAGTTGAAAGTGTTTGTGTATACATGTAATTGTATCGAAAGAAAACTTTGAGCTCTAACTTTATCTGCACTTTGTATTATTTGATGAAAGTGAGGATCAAATGTTGGAGGATATGATAATGTGTTCATCGAAATAAATATTTTATTAGAACTTTGTAATGTAATTAAATTATTGTACTTAGCCTTTATAGGATAAGTTGAGGGAAAAAAGTTCAAATTATGTAAATGTTTATTATTTCAATTGTTTTTATAAGAAAAATTATAGTTTACTCCCTATGTCATAATGTATTTTTATTTTATTAATAGTAAGTTTTTGATGTAATTAAAGAAGTGTCAAGTTTTATAAAGCATTTATTGAATTTAAGTTGTTAACAAGATCTTAGTTGAAATCATAAATTTTTTAAAAATAATATGTTTGAAATTTTTTTTTGGTCTTTAAAGTAAAAGAAGTAATTAAATTTGTATTTTAAAAGTACAATAGGTATATTTTCATATTCATTTTCTACTATGACATTGATTTTACAAACAATGATAGTGCATGCTTTTTGCTTTTAATGTGTAAAATAAAACTTCTCAGGTGCTGTTGATTAGAAAAGTTTACATTGTTCTGTAGTACTAAGTCTGATATGCTATTCAGTAAACAGAGTAAACAAGCATAGTGTTAAAAAAATTTGCATGAATATAAATTTTGAAGATTGGAAGAACCCATTTTTTAATGATTTCTTATTTTCTTGTACTTTTTTTTTCAATTTGTGAACGAGTTTTAGTACTAGTTACTTTTTTCATATTTTAGAGAAAATCATATTTTTAAGCAAATATATAAGCTCATTTATTCATTCAATAAAGAAGTTTGACGTGATATCAACAATCCTCTTCTAAACTTTTTCTTCAATTTTTATGCAAATAAATAGATTGAAACTTATTTTATTGTTTGAACAAAATATCCTTTAAATATGGTAGAATCCTGAATATCTAACATCCAATGATATGACACTTTGGATTTAAATCACCCTTTCTATTTTAATGTTCACACTAAATTAGTACTATCAGAAAAGGTCGATGATCTTTCAGATTTTAATTTATTGACTTTGAAAATCAGATCTGGAAAAAAATTTCCTTACTAATCAACCCTTATGGGTTGATATATATCATGAACAACTTAGTGACAACGAAGAACAGATATTTTTTTCTTTATATTTCACCATTATGTAGTATAAAAAACAGTAATTTGTTTATAAATTCTACTGTTCTACTTTACTTGACTCTTGACTGTGGATTCTAAAAGAGTACCGGTCCACGCAAGCGGACACTCCACTCCCTTATCTGTGATGAGCCCTAAGACAACTAGCGTGATAAACTTTTTTTAAAAAATGAAGTAACTAATTGGCAGCTGGAGTTTTTGTCAGTAAAGCTGGTTAAGTCAAGATTTAATTATTGAGAGAAGTATGTGAAAATTTAGACTAAAAATACGAAAGTTAGATGACAGAAAAAACATTGATTGTAGGGCATAATTAAGTTTATATTTAGAGCTGGAACACTCCCAAGTAGAGAATCACCTACTGTTATACTGGTAATTTTGTTCGATGTTTTAAATATTTATTCACTTAAAAAGGTGATCTAGAATAAGCCCCACAACTATGCAATGATTTTAATTTCCTGATCCAGGGTGTCAGTTACTCAGGGTTTATCTTTATTTAAGAAATACTTTATTTTGCAATTTTAATATTGCTTTAAAATGTGCTACATAAAATTATTGAGAAAAAAATAGCACTATAACTAGGACAAAACGTTTAAAAAACTATCTTTCACAAAATTTAGCACAAAAAAAATAGTTCAAAAGTGTGCTTTGATTTTTTTTTCTGTGATACTACCATGAACTTTGTTGATGTTAAGTTTTTATTTGTTTTCTTCTGTAATTAATGATTATTAACAGTGGTGATATTCAAAACTTGTCACCTAGTAAAATATATGTCTATCAGAATGCTTCAAAAATTTGGTTAGCATACCTGTGTGCTTGAAAGATTTGCTAAGCATGCTTAAAAAGTTTGATAAGAATATCAGTATTCTTTGAAAATTTGCTGAACATACAAACATTTATGAATCTCATCACTGATAGTTAGATTTCTTTTATAAAGGATTATATAATTTTCAAAATTACTATAATTATTGATTTTATGTGTCATATATTTAGCCATATTTTATAAACATATTTTTTGTGATATTTTTTCTCTTTATTATTAAGCTTCCTCTAGCCTTTTTGAAAACTATTTTTTATTTATGTTAAAGTGTAATGATTATAGATAATTTTATTATAATGTTCTTTGTAGAGAAGATATTTTCAAATGTTATTATTTTATATTTTAAAATTTTAACTAGCTTTATTAGTTTCATGTATTCTAAACTTAACTTAAAAATTGGTTTGATAAACTTATATATACAGAAAACACTGCAACTAAGTATTATAATTTGAAGAAATTAACAATTTAGAGAGTTAGGGTTCTAATTATTAATACTTATAGGTAACTTATTAGTCAAACTTTCAAAATTAGTTAAATCATTTATCATCTAGTACTATTGTAATTTTAAATGTTGTTTTTTTTTGAAAAATAAACTAATGTTTCTTTTAGAAAGCATATTGTTTTCTAAAAGTGCTTGAAATTTGGTTTGTTTCTGAATATAAAATTGCTATGGGCAGGCACTCTAGAAAGAGACCTTCTCCCTCAAGCTCAGGTTTGTATCTCTCGGCATGAAAGGATTAAAGATATCTTATTATTTAAATTAGAAAGTTTTAAGTTTTGTATATAGACACAATGTTATACTATATACAAAGTTAAATTAAAATATGAAATATTTGTCTTTACATTAAACTTGAAAAATGGTTTTAAATTTGTTATTTTCTCTACCAAATTATTATCAAATATGTATTGAGATTGAACTAACATTAACTGGAAATAAAGTTATTTAATTTAATTTATTATTATTTAAAAAATTAAATGTGCAATTTTTCTTTACTTTATATAGCTTTTTCTAGTCAAAAATTACTTAATGTTATGAAAATATGATGCCCCAAAATATTTTTAAGTATTTATACGTCTGTAAATAAGTAATTGCTTTTATAATGTTGAGAGGTATTATTACTAAAAAAAATGAGAGAAAATTTTAATTTGTTTGTAATGAAGTTAAGTGTTAAGAATTAAATAAAATTTTAAGATAGTAAATTATTTAAATATTTAAATAACTGAAAATTTTTATAATTTTTTTACTTACGCAACTTTTGATATTTTTAAATGAATTTTAGGCTTTTTAGAAGCAATTAATTGTTTGATTAAAACTTAATACACAAGCTTTTAATGTTTCTTTTTATTTAATCATATGTTAATTTTACTAGATAAATTTACCAAAAATTTTTTTAATTTAAAACTTAATTTTTTAATAGAGTTTATGAAGTTTATTATATTTATTTTCGAACTGCTTATTTGTGTTTTACTGTGAAATATATATATATAATTGCAAGTGTTTTTTTTAAATTTATATATTAAACTTTTATAATTTTTACTCTGTATGCAATTTATGTATGTGTATATTTTATGCATGTATATTTGTTTCTACATTTATTATTATTTTATATTTTTTAAAAGAAGTTAAGTTCTCATATGAGATTCACTTAGAAACATTAATTTTATTTAGATACTTTTAAACTCATTATCGATATTTCCCCCCATTTTTTAGCTGATTATTAGAATATTATAATTTTATATATAAATAATTTTTACTTGTTATGGATATATATATCTGGAATGTAAAAGATTAATTTCTTCAGTTTCAGATATTGAAACTTCACTGTATATTTTCAAGTAATCAAAAATGACAAGCTAAATTACTGCCATAAATGAAATTATTTTTCTTAAAATTCAAACAATGTTAAAATTTTCTTTGTTAAGAATTTATAATCATAAATCCATTGTTGATTGTTCCATTAAACATATCAAAATGTTATACATTTTTTAATCTTATGAAAAATCAGTTGCTTTTAAGTAATACATTCAGTAAAAAATTTATTGCATAATCTGTAATTGTAATAATAACTGCATAATGTAAAAAGATAAATGTAAAAAAATAATGTTATCGTGCCAGTATTTACTATGCATAACTTGCTCATATTCATCACCTGCCTTAGATGCTATGTAGTCTTACACATGGTACACTAATTCATATTATCATCTGCTATCTTATATACGAGTTTTGTTTATTACAAAAAATGAAAGACAGATTTCAATGTTTTTCGATTGTGACAGCAATTTTAAATTTTAGAATGTACGTCTTGTATTTACTTTTTAGATTGTTTTGCGTTTTTGTAATGTTAAAGAAAAATACTTAAAATTATGTTATATTCAATGAGTATTTTGTATTATATATTTCTACATCAAAATCCTTGTATACTGTCATTGAAAATACTTAATTTACAATATTTATATTTGTTGCTATCATGAACGAAATTATGATGTTTTCTCTGAATTGAAAGATTAATTTTTTGAAATAAGTAATTTTGTTTAATTTTACTGAATAATGATTTCGTAACGCTAAATTCACTTACATTAGTTTTAGAGCTGCTTTCATTAGGAAAGCTATAAAAAAATTAAATACTTTTTTTATTGGTTTGTGTTCTTTTAAATATGTTTGGTGTTTAACATTATTTACTTAAGACACTGCAGTACAGTTTACTTAAGACACTACGGAAATTCTGTTTTTCTTAATTTTACTTGTGCAAAAGAATCTTATACCATACTTTTTAAGCTATTGAGATTTATTTTTAAGTATATAAAGATAGATATTAAAATTTTTGACAGTGTTACTTTAAAAAAAGACAACTTTTTAAAAGAAAACTGCAACAATTTTTTTTTTAATTTAAAGCCAAGAAATTAGGGACAAACACTTCACTTGGAGTAAGTGTTTTATGCTTTATTATCTCAGTAAAACTTTGAATATGATTTTACATTGGGTAAAAAGTATTTGACATTATTATTTTTTTTTTCATCTTATATTTTTTCTTTGCCACTCTGACTAGTTTTTTTTTTAATTTTCTTTACTATTATCAATTTCTTTAAACATATTTGTAATGTTTTGTAATGTAATTTTTTATTGTTCTAAATCAAGATTTCATAATCATGTTCTAAATCATAAATTTTAATGTGCCTTTCTAATTTTTTTTAAATGGTTATGCTTTGGAGTACATTACTATATAATTAGATTATTAATTTTTACTAGCTACATAAAAGTGCTTTAAAAATAGTTTGCTTATTTTGATTTCTTTTGTCCGTTGTTTTTTTCTTCAAAGAATACTAATAATAGAATACTTATTCTAGTTGCATTTATTTAAGAATGCATTTTCTTTAAAATGGTTTATTGATTATTTAATAATACTTTTGATAGTTCATAATTCGAAAAAAGAATTTATTTGTCATAAATTTCATTCATGATAGTTTATAAAATTAGTGCCGCTTACTTTGACTTATATTTAATCTTATGTAATTTTTGTGTGATATAATGTTAACAAAATCAAATGTAATTTTTGGAAAATATGTTTGAGTCAAAATGGTGCCTTTTTGTTTTCCTATCTTGTTCAATGACCTCAGTGCCTTTCCCTGTTGTCAACTTACATTTAATTTCTCTTTTTCATTGATTTTTTATTCAATCTAAGAATGTAAGTTCTATTATCTGACATCATAACTGGTGTATAATTTATTTTTATTGTTAAAACATTTTATGGTACGAAATAAAAGTTTTAGCTGTATGACTTTTTAATTGTACTAAGCAAAAATATGTTTTTTTTTAGATTACATGTAAATATGTTAATTGAAAATTAACAATGTTGATATAGATGCAGAATTTTGAGCTAGGAAGTTTTACATAAGGTCATTGTTTCTAGTATTTATTAAAGCTGGTATTTTAAAAACTAATAATAACCAACCAACCAATTTTTGAATACCCTAGACCAGAAAATCAAGTAATAAGCTTGTAGCTTGTATCGATTATTTTGGTTGTTATTTGCATTAATTACATAGATTTTCATAAAACTAGCTTTATTCAAGGAAAAATCTACATTATTTTATAAAAAAAGTTTTTTTTTTTTTGTCTTGCATGTTTTTTTTTCCATTATTTCAAAAATATTCTTTATAAATTTGAGGAAAAAAATCGTTAAAAACTGCGCAAGATGTAAGGATTTAAAGTAGTTCTGTTGTTGGCGATCGAAATGGGCTGCAGGTGGCGTGGAGAAGAACTCTCTACCTATGACAGCACCTCCCATGCTTTCCCCATTAGCGTGTAGAGAGTCATAGAGAAAAGAAGTACATTAGTTTCTCTCTTGATTTTCAATAGATTAAAATCTCTTAAGTTGGAAAACTGTATGGAACTGAAAACTGCATTAAACATAGTTCTAAAGAAAAGTATCACGGAAATTTTAAAAAATATTTTTATTAAATAAAAAGGAAAAGTATTACGAAAAGTAGATTCCTATACAACTGAAAACCTATACATAGTACATTCCGATACAACTGAAAAGAGGAGGAGAGGGAAGGGAGAAGGGCCAAAGGCATGAAACCGGTCTCTTCCCAGATGGCGTATTCGAGCATTGCGATCGCCAATACGTTGCATGCTCCAAAAAAAGAAAATTTCTTAAATATATATATATATACTAGGAGGCTCCGCCCCCTGCTCGCTCACGCTCGCCAATCCCCGAGAATTGCTACGCAATCCTATGTGGTTCACGCCGTGAACCATGGCTCGCTGCGCTCGCTCGCCAATGAACACAATGTTCTAGCACNTTTTTTTTTTTTTGTTTTTTTTGCATTATTCTTTATAAATTTGAGAAAAAAATCGTTAAAAACTGCGCAAGATGTAAGGATTTAAAGTAGTTCTGTTGTTGGCGATCGAAATGGGCTGCAGGTGGGGTGGAGAAGAACTCTCAACCTATGACAACACCTCCCATGCTTTCCCCATTAGCGTGTAGAGAGTCATAGAGAAAAGAAGTACGTTAGTTTCTCTCTTAATTTTCAGTAGATTAAAATCTTTTAAGTTGGAAAACTATATGGAACTGAAAACTACATTAAACATAGTTCTAAAGAAAAGTATCACGGAAATTTTAAAAAATATTTTATTAAATAAAAAGGAAAAATATTACTAAAAGTACATTCCTATAGAACTGAAAACCTATACATAGTACATTCCTATACAATTGAAAGGAGGAGGAGAGGGAAGGGCCAAAGGCATGAAACCGTTTTCTCCCCAGATGGCGTATTCGAGCTTTGCAATCGCCAATATGTTGCATGCTCGAAAAAAAATGTTTCTTAAAAAGTATATATATATTTCTCTATTTTATAGTGAATTGTAATTGGCAATTAACTCAATTAATTCAAGCAATTTTCCAAGTAGTTTTTATACTTTTTAAAAGAAATCTAAAAAATATCAAGATTTTTCCATAAATTTTATTTTGTAGCGTTGCTAATTACTTTATCCTATAATAATCTACCTGCAAGATGCTTGTATAAGAGAAGAAAACACTTGAAATGTAACATACTTTAATAACGAGTTAGTCCTCCATGTGCTGCAATGACGTTATTAACCCTTCTAGGCATGCTCAGAACAAGATATTGGTATACAGCTGTAGATATTTGCTTCCATTCCTGCTGCAAGAATGTGGTCAGTTCGGCTTTAGATTAAGAACGCCGTTCTTTGGCTTGTAAACGTCGCTCTAATTCATCCAGTATATGTTCTATAGAGTTTAGGTCGGAACTCTGAGCCGGCCAGGAAAGACGTTTCACATCCATATCATAATACCACTCCTTGATAGAGCCTGCAACACGGCACGGAGAGTCGTCTCAGAAGTAACTTTGTCATTTTTATGAAATTGCCAGAGGGTATGTAGAATTCGATTATATAGAATATCGTCTATGTTGGTCTCGGTGTCCAACCTACCAGCAACATGCAAAAATCTCAGATCATACCACGAAAAATATCCCCAAACAAGTACACCACCTCTGAACTTTACAGTTGGAATTCTGCATTCAAGTTAAAGACATTCACCTGGTATTCGCTATATCCAACTACATCCGACTGGAAGAACGCGTAGTAAGACTCATAGCTTCATAAAACAGTTTTTCAGTGGTCTACAGTTTAGTGGCGACGTTGTCTGCACCAAGGCGTCTTTGTTGGACAGATTGATATTGGTTATGAGTTAACGCTTCAATGTACAGGGTCTTTATAATTAAAGTTCCACTTTGAAATGGCTATAAAAATAAAACTACCCGACCAAGTGTCATCAAACTTGGTAAATGTCTATAAGAGGTCATGGGATTTTAGATCCCACAAAAAAAAGAAAAAAAAATAGTTCAAAAATTCACCACCAGCGGAGAATAGCGCTGTATGCAATAGTGTTAAACAAATGTGAAATATGNCTTATTTGATTGTTAAACTCGCTTTCTTCATTTATGCCCAATATAGAATTGATACGAATTTGATAACTATTTCTAGTTTCATGCGGTTCTTGTGAACTTCCCGTATCAGAACGGAGTTTAAGGATCACAGAACGGAGTAGAACCTGATGATCCAATTAACTTACCGGGGACGGCCCACGTGCGCAGTTCGTATCCCAACACCAGTAGTTTTCTACTTTCTTACGATTTTAACAGCAGTTGCCAGTGAATAGGATAAATCAGTCGCTATTTCGCCAATAGAGTTGCCACGTATCATCCAACCCCTTTCAAAATCACTCAAGTTCCTGTCGCTGTGACATATTGTCACAACTTCAAATAGAAACGACTTAACTACTTCACATATCGTATTTATCTTTAATACAGTTGACCTGTGAACACTGGATTTAAATAAATATTGATATGCAGACGGGTTTTATGCAAATCCACTTACGTCTTGGCTGTTAATGCCGGTGTAATTTTTAATCAATCTTGTTTCATAATACGAAGTGAAATTTGTGGAAAACCCCTTATTTTTTTGTGTTTTTTTTCCCCTCATGAAGTACAAAATTGACTTTAAAAAATTGCTTGAAACTTTTTAAAGAAGCTTTTTTTATTTATCAATTTATTCAAATTATCAATCAGATATTCTTTTTTATCGTCACAAATTCTGTTCGACTTGACGTAGAAACAAAATTCAAACTGTTTTAGAAAGAAAACGACAATTTTATTTATATAAAAAACAGAAAAATGATATTTTGCTTAACCCTTTCGCACCGGACGGGACATGTGCTGTCCCAGTCCATGGGTGAAAGCCCTTCTATAGCAAGACGGAAAAGAGAAAAACCTGGAACGTAAAACAATTCATTCCAGCATTATTTTCGAAAAAAAATGAAATATCTGTAACTATCAAGATTTCTTTTATAATTTTGGCATATATATAAAACTGCTTCTTTTCCAAGATAAAGTAGATATTGTTGAAAAATTTAAAAAAAGAATAAGTAAACTCCTCCCCAAAACTAGCTATAACTGAAATGGTTTTACTACCAGCCTTTCCTCTTTTCCGTCTCGCTTTCACCCCTGCTGATTTTTCGCCGTATTGAAAGGGTTAAAGTGGTCGTGGGTACCTTTTCTGTTCTTTTTTCTTTCTTTTTTTTTAGTGATTATGTCTTCTTAAAAATATGTATGTAAACGTTAGGGGGCTATTTTTGAATGATTTTTGACGATAGAAACTAATTTTTAACTCTTAACTTTTTAATAACAGAAAAAAGTGCTGAAATGTTAGCCTACACTTTTTTATAATGGTTGTGAAAAATGTTAAGAGAGGTATTCGCTTATAAAAAGGATTCTAAATTTTTTCAATTTGTTTAAGTTAGACATGGTGGTCAGGGATCGAGCTTTCGCCTCCCAATGAGGTGGCCCAGGTTCGAATCCCTGCAATGGCCAGTCGACACGATTTCCGCACCTGGCTCGCATGGACCACAAAGCTAAAATAGAATAACTCAGTGTTAGACGAGTCATGGATTAAAGTGTCCTTGCCCGTTAGTCTAACCATGAGAGGTTTTCGTGGTTTTTCTCTCCATATAACAAAAATGCGAGTTAGCTCCTTTAAAAAATCTTCTACGAAGGCATATTTCTCGTAGAACTTGATCTAGAAGTTCCCTTGTCTTTCAGATCAGATTCAAAATAACAAGGCTACAAAGTTTATGACATCCCTGTTGATAATTCTGGTTGCAAGAATCGCAGTAGTTGCCTACGAGATATGCCTGGAGTATTGCAGAATGTTCGAATGTCCATGCGCCAGAGGTGTGAGGTGTACATTGGAGCCGGTGGCAGAAACTTCCAACACTTACTTTGGCCCATGTACCATATAATTTTTTCAATGTATTATTATAGCGATTTTTCACTTACGGTCTCTTTTCTTTATGGTGCTTCTGTGTACGTCACCGCTTCAGGAANCTTCGAACACTTGCTTGGGCCCATCTACCATATAATTTTTTCAATGTATTATTATAGCGATTTTTCACTTGCGATCTCTTTTCTTTATGGTGCGTCTGTGTGAATTAAAAGCGTAATTATAGCAGTACATGGAAATAACTTTACAAAAGCGTAATTATAGCAGTACAGGAAAATAACTTTACGAAAGGGATACAAAAATATTATAAAAACAATACTTTTATGCTGATGACAACCAAAACAACATGGAAATGGATGAGGAAAAGCTAGATCCTGCCACGTGATTTTCCGCCCAATAAAAATGCATGGTCAACAATGGAGAACTGCAGCATCATTTAATTTTTTACATATAGTAAGACTCGTCACTTGT